CCATATGGATTTGTCATATGACTTCATCGAGTGAAGAATAAAGACAAAATTAGTTTAGACTATATGATGTATTTCATTAATAAAATTCGTTTTCTTTTTTTATTTTTATTTTTTTCAATTATTAAATTAAGGAGCTGGACACTTACACATTGTTTTCTTCGGAATTATGTTCTCCGGAAGTTTCTTGTTCACGTTTTATGCTTGCTAGTTCACTAGGTTGTGGAAGCTGTGTTTCCATTTTTGGTTTTTCATCTAACTTAATTTCTTCGTATGCATTGCTATCACTTTTAGTTTTCTCTTCTGAATTCACAAATGTTCTTTCGGTCTTTATATGGAAATCATTTAAATTTTCATCAATAATATCACTTTGTTGTGCAATGTTTTGCTTTTGTAAGACATTCCCCTGAGTGTTGGAAACAGTTGGCTCCACGTTTAACGTCTCTGATGAAAGAATCACAGCTGACACGAACGCACTGTAAATAAGAAAATAAATTGACATTATTATGCTAAACAATAATGACTGCAGACAAATTGATATCTTTTGCAAGTGAAATGGGTGTTTTGAAATATAATCTGCAAAGGAAAAAGATATAGCTTTACAATTTCTTTTTGTGAGTGATACTACCAAATCGTCAATATCAATTTATCAATAAATTTAATTTCTGCAAAATATTCATTGCAACCTCAATTGAATAGTACATAATTATAAACATCGCGAATTGAATTGATTTGCACATTTATTACCTGCCAATGCTGAGCATCAGTACCATAATAGCGAATTTGTTTCTCTTCATTTTTATATAGTTTCGGTGTCATCAATCAACAACAGCTTTCGACCTTACAATTAAAGCTAAAATCACATTTTAATTAAAATGATTTTCAGTTTCACTCTAACAAATCATGTATTGTACTGTGTAAAATTGAAGTTTTTTTGGGCAAGAAAACAATAAACTAAGCATTTTTACATTTGATTATAGACTGACGTGTTGTTTTTGACAGATGTGTGCAATTTTGTTGCGAGTAGAGTGTGATAGTGTGTGACAGATGGTAAAATTGTCCGAAAGTCATTCGATTCGAGTACTAAATTTACAATAAACACATGATGTTATACTAAATGTATAGCATGTTTCTATTATTGATTTAAGAAAAACGGTGAAATTTAATAGAAACGAGTAAACCCAATTTCTTTGCAGTTTAATTTATTGTTTTCATTTTTTTTTTCGTTTTTAGTAAATATACAAAACAATTTTTATTTCATTCATTGTGAATGGGTCTTTAGTACATTTATCTGTCAAGCCTGTGTGTAACATTTTATACATATGAGTTTTTGCCGACGTCAATCACCGCCTAAACAATTGAAGTTCTTAGTTTTCATCTACTTTCTCTTTTAAAATCCAATAAAAATAGAAGTTAATCAAATTGGAAAAATGTTTGAAACACTTTATTCACTACCTTTCTTTATATTGGAAGTACCAAACTTAAAAATTAAACGACCGTCATGGTTTCATCAACCTTCTGCTATGACAATTTTCTCGCTAGTGTTGCTGTCGTACTTTTTGGTTACTGGAGGTAAATTTGTGTAAATTTTTCTCAAACATTCATTCTAGTTTTATTTATCCCATGTATATATTAAATGCAATTTGTATTAATGATTTTCTAAATGGTTCTTTATTTTCAATAGGCATTATTTATGACGTTATTGTTGAACCACCCAGTGTTGGAAGCACCACAGATGAACATGGACATTCTCGGTAAGAAAAGAAATTCATGTTCCACGTTCACAGTTGAAATAAAATAAATGTTTTATTTTTCACACAAATTATTTTTTAAACACATACTATTTCAGACCAGTTGCGTTTATGCCATACAGAATTAATGGGTTAGTTCTAGTTTAATTTATACCATATTCTGTATTATTCTGATTTTTTTAAATTTATTTTTATTATTCAAAAGGCAATACATTATGGAAGGTTTGGCCAGTAGTTTTCTGTTCACAATAGGTAATTTTGATCAATTAGAAGCGATGGATTTTAATTTTTAAACGCATAAATAAACATTTGAACATGTAAATTCAAACAGGTGGCCTCGGATTCATAATAATGGATCAGACACATGCATCTGGTTTTGGTGGAAAACCAAAACTAAATCGCATACTATTGACTGCCATGGGTTTCATTTTTATTTTGGTCTCATTCTTCACAACATGGATTTTCATGCGAATGAAGCTGCCGGGATATTTGCAACCATAAAGAAAGCGAAAAATAATCCCGTAAAATGTCCTATTGCACAACTCAAAAAATGTATTTCGACAGAATTGAACAAATAAATATATTAGAAATTCCAAATAAATAATTAAATAAGAAAATTGAAAACATAATATGTCTTACTGAAACTATGTATGTTCTGGTGATCGTCGGGCTCGAGCGCTCGTTGCGACCTCTGGAACTCCGTTGTGACCCTTTGATAAACATTGAATATATATATAGTGACCATTTTTAAAGAAATATGAAACGCATCAAATACCAATGAAATTATAGTCATATTTTTTCAAATGTCAAATATTTGCATCTCTTTCTGCTATTTGATTCAGAGCACTATGGTTTACACATACATTCAAGTCTATCATTAGCACCAACAAACACAGCAAACAAAGTTGTGACATATAACCGGCACTCTCGTGTAATCGTCTTTTCAGAATATATCTTCGAGCAAACAAAATGGACAAAGCAACAGGTCGATTCAATTTACGAGCGAGAAAATCGTTGAAATTGACAGGTCAAATCGAATGCATTTCATGTAAACGACATTATTTTCCATCGAGTTTTTCGGAGGATGATGAAGATACCGAACAAAAAGAAAACCTTTGTTGCAATTGTGAGAACGAAATGCGAAAGGTACCACAGCCAAAAAAACGTACACCACGCACCTCAATCAAAGTGGAAAAAATAGATGCCGACTTCAACATCGCTAGAACGAGCTCCAATGTATCCCATGATCAACACCAGAACTATGGACAGACGACAAATACTCAAATCTCTAAGAACAATATGGTGCAAATTCATTCTATAGATCTGATTCAGCAACATCCAACAATTAAATCAAGTCCCAACGGTAAGTTTTCTTTTGTGCAATATTGTATCGTGGTGTAAAATCATGCATACATAAAAACACTCCATTCATTTTGGTTTTTCAAATAGCTTTCAAACAGACTAATCTCAAACAAGAAAAATTGAACGCCACAGACGAGGCTGCAATGATGATCGCTGAGGCAAATCGATCAAATGAAAACCAAATCAACAAAATGGAAGCCTGTGAGGGACCAGAATTCGAAAAGGAAAACGAGTATGCCGTTCTGACGAATGAGATAACAAAAAATGATACAGTGGAATCATTGAAAATAAAATTTCCAAACGTCAACCCTTTTGAATTCGAATTCTTATTATTCTTAAAGGCGCAAAAATCAACTGAATGATTCAAAACATACATTTTAAATTGAACTACCTAAATTGAAATTTCCTACAATGGAAAGCAATTAATAAAAAAAATTATATTGATAAAACAACAAGTGATTTTTTCATATAATAATGTAAAATATGGATTTAGAAGTCCAATCAAATCAAAACAGCAATACAAACCTTCGAATGATCCATTTTTGCTTATGTTATTAGAATAATGAAAAATGTAATTCTTCAAAGTGTTTCAAATTTCCGTACTACTGGATATGCAAAGTAAGCAACATTTCAACTAGAAGAAATATTCAAAAAACGTAGTGTGTTTTCGGTGTGTAAAGAAATAAAATGACATTAATGAGGGTGATGACAATATTCAATACAACAATGTTTCTTTTGTAATGACTATTTTCGTAGAATCTTCTAGATTCCAAATTACAAAAAAAAATTGTATTTAAATTTATTTATAATTTATTAATGACCAAATGATTTCGTGAATAATGTCGTGTCGAACGCCATTCGTGTGAGAAACTCATGAAATTTATAAATTTGTCTATTTTGATACACAAATATTTAGTTAACTCATTGAAACATTTGTACGGTTTTAGTTTCCTATATAAAATATATGTGTATATATACATCAATATTTGTATATAAAAAGCCATAAAAAACGTAAACAAAATATCCCTTGATATAAAACTTGTGTTATGCGAGTATGGAACATGCTGCCGATATTTTTCTTTTTATTTTGGAGATGGACAGTTGATTGATGTTGTTTTGTCGCATGAAGAACGCTTTCATGTGCGTGACCTAAGCAATGGTGATGTCATCGTCTGGATTTCTATAGTTTTCGTATAGTCCAAGTATGAGTCGCATTCCGTCAATGAATTAATATTGAATAGTCTGTATAATGTGCTATTCCAACGCAAATAATTGCTTTGAACATAACATATAAAATGCGTAGTTTTTTTATACACCGCGCTGAAAAAACATATAAAATCTAGTGTGACTAATCACTTCCAATTTCCAATTCCAACATTCCAACAAAATATTTTAACTGAAAATCCAAAAATAATTTAATTAATCAGAAGTGAGTCACTGATTACTTTATCAGTAATAAATTTAAACAATTCATATCTATTGTTTCATTACGACACTTTATTCAACTGAAATTAAAACTGTTTATGACATGGACATTTTATGATTAGCAGTGTAAGGAATCTAATTTATGTGTGCTTTTTAAGCATTTTTTATGTTATTACAATGCTAATATATAACTTTTAATCGCGGAAAGTGAATATAACATCCAAGAAGAACAAAACACCATTGACAATGGATAACCAAGCTTTCCACATAGCCAATTTGTGGGTTTCACTATTGACGACTGAATGGAATCCATTGTCCCAATCTCTCAAAATCAGGGCACCAGTGGCAATGAACAGAGCACATCCGATCAAACTGAAGAAAATATCAATGCGCTTGTTGATTGGTGTGCTGAGAATATATCCTAAGACGAAATATATCGAACATGAATAAATTAGAAATAATGATGAAGTCATCGCGGAATAAAACTTAATTTTATGTTAACGCATAAAAAAATTTCAAATACGTAAAATTTTATATACGCAAAATATTACCTGCAAACAAGCCCACCAAAATCACTGTGTATCCCACGAAAGTCCCGGAACTCAAAACTATAGTTTGAGGATCAGATTCGTGAAGAGATTTATAGTGGAGAACCAAGCACGTGATTGTGATGATCTATGGGAATAAAATAATACAAGGAAATCCGTCATATGAGTACATAAGTATAAAATGTTCGTTCATGCCAATTTAAATACTATGTACGTTTTTATTTTTGCGAAATCAAGGATTGCGTTTGAATTGCCTTGATCATTCCAAATGAAATTTTTGAGGAATTCATCACCGCATACAATTTGATTTTTTCCGTTTCCATATATAGTAAGTGAAATAAACAAAATAAGCAGATCGCGCAAGTTTCAAGGTTAAAATGATTGCATCATTCTATATATATTGAATTATGTCTTCTGTATTGACATCAACGAACATTTGACTACTAACTAACTAAAAAATTTCACAAATAATCAGATAAACTGGCACTATGCACAATTGCACACATTCACTTACCAATTCCAAAAATTTTCCAATCGACAAACGACTTACTGCCATGTTTATATTTTTTATTTTTTGGTATTTCAACAGTAAATTAATGAATAATCGGGAGCAGATTTTCAAAACCGTGTTGACTCTTTCACTTCACAAACAAGACTGATGACTAAAACAAGTAGACGCTTGCATCTTCGTTGAATTGTTTACACACAATCTATAAAAATAGGAGGGAAACAATTCTCACGCTAGTATGCGTGGTTTTGGTATTGTAACTTTTAGGCGTGTATTGAAATTCTGACTTGATTACACGCAACAACTCATACATCATTCACACTGTTATTTGTAAGGTAATCCGGCTTTTGTGTATGTGTGCGTGGTATATATGCAACTTTGATATCAACGATAGCGATCAGTCCCATTACACTACCTTTAGCTACATAATTCAACTCGTAGTCATCAACACTTATTCCAAAAAAAAAACATTGCGTAAGGCTTTATAAATACCTATGAACAAATGGTATGATAATCATTCTGGAGCTGCCATACAAAAGATTGGAAGAATAAGAAAATGAAGGAGATTTATGAAAAAACAACAACATCAAAGCAGAACTATAATTTATTCAAAAAATTAAAGCCCACAGAGATGGCGGTTTACCCACAATGACAAAGCGAATAGACACTTTTACATTTATCATACTATGTTGCTTAATTCAAAGCAAAATATTTTGGACCATCAAATATAAAAAAGACATGATATTTATCATGGTTATCTTTGTTTATTATTATTATTCATTTCCTAGAGCTTCAACGTTTATAGTCCGAACTCCGAACCAAGTTGAAAAAAAAACATACAAAGTGGCGGTTTACTTTGTTTGAAAAATGCTTGGCAAATGTAAAAACAAATAACAGCACTGGAGCAATTAGTCAATTTCTATCATAAAAATATATTGTTCAGAAACATTATTCTCTTGTTATTTCTAATTCTATTTATGGGGCTTGTTCTAGAAATGGATGGAATATTCACAACAATGTAAAATAACTCATAAAAAATTCAATAAACTTTCAAATCAATAAATTAAAGAAAAACTGGAAAATATGAAAATGTAGGGCACTTCATAAAACTTTAATTCGCTGAAAAGAAAATGATTTCATACAACTTGGCTTCAACAGCAAGAGATATCGAAAAGCGATAGAAACAAAAATTGAGTTTATATTGTTTTTGACAATTTTTACATCATAATAAAGGATTTAATGCATGCGGACATGTGTGTATTTCAAATCAAATGGGAGAATATTCTTGAAGCATGTAATATATATAAACAAATGAAAAATCTTCCAACTTTATGAAAAATATCGCAAACAAAGCTTGGAAAACATTACAAATGTTCAAATAAGAATAATGCGTTCCCAGCGAAGAAGTTATATTGGATCGCAACAAACTTCATGTGGATAGCCATCGACCTTGAATATTGAAATACACACAAAATAGCAAGAATAAAAGAGAGAACTCTTTCAGTATGGAAATTAAACATTTTGGGCTATTGGTGCTGCTTTTTTCATTGTGTATTACATTTGAATTGTGATTCGGCTGAGTATTTGATGCGCTCAGTGCAAACATGACTAATCATAATTAACTGAAAAATATTAGGATCGAATTCTAAACAAAATTCACGAAAAAGGAATGTGGAATTAAAATCGAATTTCGTTTGTTTCGTTTGTTTCACTGACGAGAAAAAAATTGTGTTTTCTTGTGTAAATCTAGTGGGCAAGAAAAAAATGTCCACGACTCTACAATACGATACATCCAAAGTGCAGTCAAACGAGAACAAATAATATTTTTTGTTGGTGATTCAATATTTTCTTAGTAATTTTCCAGTGTTGAAATAATTTGAGCTAGCTCAACGAAAATTTGATTACGGAATAAAGTTAAATTCATTGCAATAGATAAAATATTTTTTATGGTGTGAGATAGAACAAACCACACACACTTGAAGAAGATGACGTTTGTAAAATGTCAGTGACTTGAAACTTTAATAATATATACGACACAAGTACGATCGATATAAGTAGCCATGTGGTTTAAATAGCAAAATGATTTTGAAATTAAAAAGAAATAAATTAAATAAAACACAAATACGTGACCAAATGTAAATAATAACAATAATAATAATCAAAAAGCAAACGAATAGATTATATGGACATATACATAGCTTCCCATATAACTCACGATACAAAATTCAGTGTAAACAATAAGAACAAGTAAAAATTCGCATATAGATGCTTAAAATCATCAATTTAGACATAAAATTCAATTTATTTTGATTCGACCGAAAAAAAATAAATAGAACTGTAAAATGATGGCAAACGCTTCCATTGACGATGGCTCACACGAACAAGTGTCAGAAGCGATCGCAGCAATGGTAATGCGAAAAGGCTATCGTGATGGAGCTTCTTTTATAAATAATGAGTGCGTTAATGGCAAAAGTGAATATCTGAACTGTGTATTGGATGTTATTCTTAGTCCAGAAAATAATATCGATAATTTAGAATACATAGAATGGTGCAAATGGCTTATTGCCGGTGGCCGTACACCTGATGACTTCGCAAGCATAGGTAAGGTCAATGACATTAGAAGATTTCATATTAATGATTTGAACGTTTTTAATAAAAACGCCCAAACGAATTGAATTTTAAACATGTAAAAAGTAAAAAAAAGAATAAAAATATTTAATTCGTGAATGTTTAACTAAAAAACAAAAACTTAATGTGAAATCTTCATATTTATGGTATTAGTGTACAATAGAATGTTCGTGCTTTGACTATTTGCTACTTTTCTATACGGAGTAAATTTTATACCTTTTCATAATAAATATCATTTTTATTTTTAGTTCTTAAAGTACATAGATTATTTTTAAGATAATCTAACCTTGAAATATTTGTTCATTTTTTTAATGCAAATCTAGTTCGAACATACGATAATCATGCGAAATGTGGTCTAGTTTGGATACCACATGTAGTTGCTTACCGATGCCGCACATGCGGAATTTCTCCGTGCATGTCAATATGCCGGAATTGTTTCAAGAAAGGCGACCATTCCACGCACGATTTCAATATGTTTCTATCGCAAGCGGGCGGTGCATGTGATTGTGGGGATACATCAGTGATGAAAGCCGAAGGGTTTTGTTCCGACCACGGCATCAATAACCATTCTAGAAGCTCAACTGTGCCAAATGATCTAATGGCCGTCGCAGAGGCAATAATGCCACGATTATTACTTCGTTTGCTGTTTCACTTCCGTGATGATGGCAACATTAAAGCCTGTGATTCATACTGTAGTATGCTAATGGAACTGAATAATATAGGTGAACTAATGCGTAACGTGATGACTACAACTTTACTTGATAAATCGGTATGTTGATGGACAAAAAGACTTGAATTTTTCTTTAATTTTTTTATTAACTTATTATTGAAGATATATCGACAAAATTATGTATTTTATTTTATTTTTTGTCATCAAAATGTTATTCTTTTATATTTATTTATGTATTTTCATCCAACAGTTATATGTTTCGCTACTCAATCCAGACACAACAAAATCATATTCTGAGTTCTTAGTTCGAAGCATAATCAAGTATAAAGATGCCAAAAGCAAGTTGAAAAGGTAAGAATGTTTAATACCGTATTTTCAATTATGAAAAACATTGGTTAATTTGATTTATTCATTTCATGGTCTTTCAAGTCCGGTGGCACCAAACAAATATAAAGATTTTGTAGCTCTCCAAAGTGACATTGTGCATTCGTCATTGTTAGAAGAATTAATATTCTGGACGTTCAAATATGAATTTCCACAGAATTTTGTTTGTTTTCTATTGAATATGCTACCCGATCCAGAGTATAAGGTAATAATTGCATTTCGAAGGTTTTTGGATTGAATTTCAATGTTTTTATTTTATTAATTTCCAACAATTCACATTGTAGGAACAATTGACACGAACGTTTGTAATGCACTACAGCCGCATTCCAAAGGTTTTGGAAACGTCAGGCGATCCGGATACACTGAGCAACCGAGTCGTTCATATGAGTGTGCAACTATTTTCAAATGAAAGTTTGGCGCTTAAAATGGTCGAAGAATTGAATCTTTTGCATGTGATGATCATTAGCTTAAAGTCAATGATGGCACAAAATCTAATACGAAATACATTACACGATGAAGATCGAAATACACACGATGTTATTGATTGTGCTACTAAAGCAATGAAAGAACACTGCTATTGGCCGCTCGTTTCTGATTTCAACAATGTACTTTCTCATGAGTCGGTGGCATTAGTTTTTCTTCGGGACGATGATTTAGTAAATATGTGGTTTCAATTTTTATCGATGCTGCAAGGAATGAATGTCAATGTTCGCGAAGTTGGGAGTCATATCGAATACGAACCAAGTTCCTATTATGCAGCCTTTTCATGTGAGCTAGAAGCAAGTGCATATCCAATGTGGTCCATTATATCGCATTTGAATGACAATACATATGCTCAGCTTGCGAAAAAAATCATCATATTCTGCTCTAACTATCTGCAAGACTGGTTGAAAGCAATTTATCAATCAAAACATGATAAGGTTAGTTGAAAAAAATATTCTTGTGAATCATATTAGTCATTTCTAAAGGAAAACTATTTTTACAGAGTGAAGTTATTAAAGATGATAAAAATGAAATGATGCGCGCTTCCTTTCATTTCCCACTTCATCGGTATCTGGCTGCATTTACATGTCAAGCCGTTAGCAAAATGAATATGACACTCAAAGACATCATCCCTCAGCCGGACCTACTTACTCTCTTAATGATTCATCCTCTACGCGTGCAGGTACATTTTTTTAATATATTTTTCAATACATTCCACAAGTGCATATGTTTTTGTAAGTGTTCAATTACAAACGCACATACAATTTGCAATCGTCACATTTAAGAAATTCAAAATCGGTAATATTTTTGTATATTTTTCGAAAATGATGGCATAAAGAAATCTTCATCGTCAAAATTAATCATCAGCACTTTATGTGTATAATGAAAACATTTACATACTTTCTAAACTTTCCATTTATTCGAGCTCTTTTCCATTGATTTAAAAAATTACATGGTTTTATTTTGTTTCAAAAAGGTAGCAAATTGTTATTGAAATTTCTGTTCTACTTTTATTTTTGTAAATTTACAATTTTGATATCTTCGGCTTCATCAGCCAGACGTGGTGTTAAAATGTGTGGTTGAAAATCGTATGTAATCAATTTCAGTCCAATAAATCCTCCATAGTTCGTTTTTCCTTTATGGTATACACCAGCTCCACTGAGAGCAACTGGAACTCGTGAGATAACATCTTGGGCGTCAATATATGGCACGGTTGTTTGGCCAACATCTCGATCCAAATCGGTGTGCGTGAATTCGATATATTGATTCGATACTGAATCAATTTCAGATTGTGATGGACATAAGATTGGAATATCTGGATTCTTTAATTTAATTGGTGTACGTTTATCCGAGCTACTTTCCGTATTATCGTTTGACTTCCAAAAGCTGGTTTGTTCGGGATCAATCAAACGGCCCGTGGTAAAATCTGCTTCAGTTACTCGAATTTCCAAATTCAAATGTGTGCCAACAACTCTTAATCTTATTCCGGTCACAACATGGCTTTTTGGTGCCACTAAGTTATCCAAATCGATAGCTCTTTTGTCCCAGCTCATGGTGTGATAATCAAGTCCGCTCCGAATTCCACGATCGAGTAACTTATAGTCACTTACAGGTTTCCAACTCAATGTTGATGCATTCACGAACCCTCTGGCTTGTAACTCTCCTTCTTGGATTTGAATATGAATTATACGGTTAATTTTTTTGAATCGAAGGCCAGTTATAACTCTGTTCAGTAATTTCAAAATAGTAGAAAATAAATTGTGTTACTCGTTCGAATGAACATTACATTTGTAGTCATACAAACCTATTTGCTGAAATATTGGATGTGGCTTCTCGTAAATTAAAATAACGATCTGACTTTACACTTTGCTCATCACAGATACACAAACAATAGCTACAATGCCAAAAAAGCCAGCGCCACCATGAGTCGACTTTTGTTGATCCGGTTTGACATACGCCCGATTTTCCTAGTGTGCGACCGTTTTCGTATTCAATGAATTCATAGCGACGATTACTTGATGGTTTCTTAAAGATCAGAATAAATTGTACATTATTTGTTTTTTCAGTCATTTGATAACATAATAGTTATTGAGCTATTGCTCTCACATACAGATGGACAAATCCACATATCTGAATCGAAGAACTGGCAGTTCAGAAGCTTTCCATTACATTTCGGTTGCCGTGCACAGAATAATTCTTTGTAACAACTGTACGACTCGCTGAACTGATAGGCTGCACAATTTTCACGGCATGTGTTATCATTGTTCATATCAACTTCATTTTCAATATAACCTTGCAACAACCTAGTCACAGTTATAAACGTTTCACCTTCGATGTGATGCCTTGGATCACAGCGCCACACAGATCGATCAGCGCGCTCCATTACTTTTCGCATTAATGATTGTGTTTTCTGAACACGATCTTCAAATCTTTGTCGCATCAAGTGAGATTCTTTTGTAAAATTGCCTAAACATTTGCAATGGGAAATTAATTACAATCGTACATCAAATTTGTATTGGTGTGTACAAACCTTTGCCGTATGTTCGTAAAATCATCCAAGAAAACTGCATCATAGCGTATCCTTTGAGTTCAGCTATCGAAATTGCATTGTACATTTGGAACAATACTTGTTGTGCTGATTGCTTCGAAATGCAAACCAAATTTTGTGCCTCCTGCAAATGATTTCAACATACTTTTAAAAAATGTATCGGTTTTTGTGTGTTTTTCTTATTTTAAACGATTTGAAATGGATACTATAACGTCTTTTTAAACGAAAAAAACTTATATATATATATCATAAAACCCATAATTTATTACCAGCATAACTTTGTAGTATGTTCCCTGTTTAACCATAAAAGTTTCTATGTTTTCTGCGGTGCCATTTATAGCTTCCGATTCTGAAAGAATCGTATCAGCTAAATCAGTCAATTCCAATCGTTGAAATTGAACAACATTTTTGTCAATGACCAATTTGAATGAGTTGAATAATGTGCGAATTGGCGTTAAACTCTCTTTCACAATATTCCATTCGTAAATTTTTTCAAGCAAATAGAATTCATTTTCGTTATAGTCGCTGAGGGTGAGGTTTTGATCAATAAATGTTTTGTGCTGACCCAATATTTGATTCAAAACGCTCGATTGATCAACACCATTTTCGACGATACTCCATAATTCAGCTTCCAGCTGTAAATATTGTGCCCGCAGAAAATCAATTGATGTGGCCCCTTTCGTATAAGTGCTAATTGCGCAGAATATATTGCAAGAAATGAAGAAAGCAACGACAGCAATTTTGACCACATTACTTTTTGTCATGTTTGTTTTGTTTAGTTTATCCCTCTCCGAGTGAAAAATTATTCTTTGTTTTTTTTTTATTATACACTGAATTCCATAAACAACATGTTTTGTAATGTCGTCGTTGTACAAAAAATGTTTCGATGTATTTTTCAACTAAAAATTTGACGTTTAAAAGACTTTTTCGTTCCGCATTGATTAAATTACACTTGTTGTAAGTGCCTTATTGGAGAACTGTTTTATTCTAATTGTAATCAATTTGAACTTGGGACTTTGACAGTGCAAAAAAATTGAGATTCATGAATACGCAAAACAACGAATAAAAAAAACACACTCCGTTGAACATGAACTGTAGCAATTTTAATATCTTTGTTTCCGAATTAAATTAGTGAGCAAACAGATCTAAACTTTTTGTTGTTGGATTATTATTCGCTTTCCGTAAATGTATTAACGTGTATATATATATTTTTTACTGTTTCTGCTGCCGTTGTTGGTGCTGTTGTGCGTTTCAACAACGTTATAAAACATTTACTGGACGCGTTGACGTTTCAAATGAGACTAACTTATTTCGTGTAGCTGTTTTGTTGTTTCTTCATTCTCATTGTATGCTTGTACTGAATGTATAGCCCGAACAGCACAGCAACGATAGCTATAAAAAACGCACACATACTAACATAACAATACATATGCTGTCAATAACATAGAATGAGACAATTGATATTTGTATAGTTTTGAAAGCATAAATTCGGCTTATGTCGTGTATTCGTTCTCACGTCGCGTGTAGCATTCGGTTGTATATGTTGATATTGGTGTCACTTCGGAAATTGCATGATTTACTCAACGTTTCAACTGATACAAACGCAAAATAATATTATTTCTTATGAACATTTCAATCGTTTCCTTTGTTCTCATACAATGCATTTGATATATCTTTGTTTGCTTTAATGATTTCAAATAAGTATTATTTGATGTGAAAAATGTTTGGGGTTGACTTTATATTCGTTCGTAGTTTGTTTTGTTTACGAATGAAGATAAATATTTGGATAGGTTGTTCAATATTTTTCAAAGATACGGACTATTCAATATTACCGGCATTAAAAGTGCACAATACACATGGTTCCCGTGAAATAAAATTATTTTTTAACGTTCATACATTCCATGGCTATCTGTCATTATGAAAATTAGAACAAAATCTCATTACCTCCATATTGTCGGCCAACAGTTGAAGTACTCCTACATTTCCAATGTTTTCCAAATCTGTTGAACCAGTAGTTAGTAAATGAATTCGTTCAAGTAATCCCTGTACAGACATTGTGTCTTGTGCCGTAATCCATTGGGCAAAATTCTCGAGCGTAAATCTTTCCAAATCGTTATAGTTTAAAACATATGATTGCATTTTATCATCTTGCGTTTGAATGCGATTCAATAAATCAGACAAATCATGCATTTTCAGTTCCAATTTTGTATTTGAACCAATGAATGTGGTGACAGAATCGACTGTCCAGGAAGCGGCTTTTAGCGTCTATGTGTGAAATATAAAGATGATATGGAATAATTTATATGAAATATTTAAAAACCTTTAACATAACAAATACATACATCATCCTCAAAATTATTTATTTTTCGTGAAACTTCATTAATTTTATTCAAAATTTTCTTCTGTTTTTCCTTTCGAAATGGTAACTCGACACCACCGCCCAAATTAGTTTGTTCAACCAAATTCCATGTTTCAAGTAATGTGGACGTTATATCCTTTCCTAATTTCAAAACTTCCACCACATCATCAATTAAGGCTTCGGCTTGATAAGGCATACATACTGACAAAAATAATACGGTATAGAAAACAACACTATTTGGTATGAGCATTTTTGGTTCTTTTCGCGGTATTTTCTAGCAATTGAATTTACAACAAAAAAACACACGCGTTCACTAGATTATTTATTGAATTGACATAGAGTCAACGACAAAATTCCATATTCAATCTTAAATGCATTTACTTCTATGAAAAAAAAAACACTTCAAGTTCTTATGTTTGGAATTGATTCTATAAATTCCACAAAATTTAAAAAGATACAGACTCAAATTTGTAGAAAGAAAATTAATTTCCAACTTTTTGAACAACAGACAAATGAACAAAAACTTTGGCGTGCTCCGATGAGTTTACAAATCGAGTCTGATATTTGGGAAAAAACGACAACTGTCTCAACGACAACAGAAAGTGACGAACATATTAAAAAAAACAATACAAATACACAGCCACACATATGCATCAATGTATTTGTCGGCATACATTAGTGAGTCATTGCATACATTGACTTAAGTTTGTTAATAAATACGTTAAATACACGTAAAAAATGTCTCTCACAATACTTGTTATATATCTGCGTCATACACTTAGTTTTAGGACCATCAAAATGAATTTGTCGTTTAGAAAGGCTGTCAGACTCAGAATATACTATTGTATGTGATAAAGGGGAATTAGTTTCTTTAAGATGCTCGCATTAAACAAATACTATTATAAATTTACTTTAGGTTAGTATGTTCGTTGACCTCTCAATCTCATTTAGGAACCCAAATATTCAAAGTTATTTACATGCACAATAATTATGTAAGTTAATGAGTTCGTTTTATTCCATTGCTTATGTGCATAATCTGTCTATGCAAGACTTGAATAAAATCCAAATTATATTTTAAGTATTGATTTCGCACGAACCTAATGATGTGTTGGAAAGCAAAATAATTTACGCTATACATACACTTGTCTGAATCATTTGTGCTCAAATATACAGCATACATAGGAATGAATCACTATATCATAAGAGAGTAAATTGCATGAATCATCATCCTGTAGAAGATGTTGACCTTATATATTATGGCGATGGGGTTTTACCTTTCGACAGAATTCAGATTTTTGAAAACAATCGACCAACAACAAACAAAATAATTCCCACAAAAATGCATTCCAACTTTGCATTGACTTAAATTTTGTTATTCTCCATTGAAATGTTATAAGATTAACATTTATAATGTTGCATTTATATTAGCTGTAATTCGTTTTCTGATGCTGCACATTAGAAATTATGGCGATACTAAGAAGAAATCATGCGATTAATAATTATTTCAATTCATTTATATCTATTCAACTCGCATCTCGTTCGATTAAGTTCATTTATAATAAATCACATGAAGTATATTTTTGTAAGGAGATTTAAAATTGCGTTGAAATTTCTGACTTAAGTTCACTACAGAGATTAAAGTGTGCAAAATGCAATTAATGTCAATATAAAGTAAGAATCGCTATGAAAAACAGGTTATTTATAAATTATAATACAAAATAAACAAACAATAAATTCTTTTTAATTGTAAATGTACAAAAATATCAGCATTACTAAGAACATATTTTGTATAAATTTTTTCTAATGTTTCGTCTTTTCTTTTATTGCAGAGTTTTTTTTATGAAATTTTGGCTGGAGTATGGATACGAAATGGTTTACAGATAAAAGGTCAAGCAATGACGTATATACAAGCGAATTTCTGCAATTCGATGGTTGATATGGACTTATATTTCTTGCAAATTTGCGCAATTCAATTGCCACCGAAAGTATTTTTATTGAATGCAATTGAATCATTCGGTGTTGGTGACTGGCTCGGTATGTGCCAGCTATCTCAGCCACAAGAAATGGAACAAGACTCAATGATGGAGGGATTGTTGACATTTTTGTCTACGATCGTTTCATCCCGAACGAACTTAGGGAATGACGAAAAGGCACAATGCATAATCGAAATAAGTGCCTTGCTCGCCACTGGCGACAAAACACACAGTCAACTATTAGAACTAATGCCGGAACGTTCGGGAAATTCACACACCAGAAATTTTGAACAATATTTGAATGAATTATCCATATTCAAGCAACCACCAAGTCTGTCGGAAAATCTGGAACAAGGATTGTTCATGCCGACTGGTGATGTATGGGAGAGGTATTACGATCCGCTTCATGTTCTATTGCGAGCCGTGCACCGAAGAGATTTCCAAAATTCCATGGATCGTTTTCAAAATTATGTCAAGCACGAAAAGAAAATGCCAAAAAGTGGAAGTCTTTGGCCACCATTCAGATTGCCAGCACCAGTGGGTGGATTTTATAGTGATCCATCATGTATTCTACAATCACGTATTTTGCATTCAATGATTCTTGGCATTCTATACCGTGCAGTACACTTGTACAATGTTTCAGAGCATATGCTATCGCTGGCTATATTCTTATTGGAAATGGCTGTCACGTACACAAACAATGTGCCAAAAGATGCATTGGAATGTAATCAAAACAAAAGTTCATTTGCCTCATCAAGCGATATCCCAGAGCTATTGAATGTTTACTCCGGTGACTGTTTAGCAGCAAATCTTCGCCATCATGTCAGTCGTATTGCATTGGCTTCAATTGAACCACAAAATTCTCCAGCAAATTATAGCAACACCACGTTTGATAGTGATATTGAATGGGATGTATCGGAAAATGAACCATTACAAACCTTAATGCCGAATACTACGCAAATGGAATTGGATACGGAAGAGACTCGATTCGATGTAGCTCAAGATTTGAGCATTCGGGAGCGCTATTTACCTTTGCGTAATGTTGATACAAATCCCGAAGCTGGTGCACTGGAACCATATGGATCTTTGCCACCAAATGAAGCTGTTAATGCAATTGAGTATACAAGACGTGACTCGGATCCAGAACCATCGGGGTCAACACATTTGGCACTACCGCCAGCACATCCAACAACTGAAACAGGCATGGAAGTTGTTGTTCGTCGCAATTTGAGTATCGTTGCAACAGATGAAACGCAAAGACCACAAACAGAAATGTTTTCACATGCAAATCCAGGCACAATGCTGCCCTTCCAAAGAGTACAGCCGGTAGCTGTACCTAGAAATATGGATATTGTTGCTAGTACGGGAAATAATCAACGACGAATCTTTTCGACATCATTCAAATCAAAAATCATTGAGGGCAGCATGTCCGATACTGACTTCATTCAAATTGACGAAAGTATTTTGTCACTTTTACTAAAGTTACACTCACAGTTGAGTGGCATATTGGACAGTTTTTCTTTGGATGAAACAATTGAAGAGAAAAACATAGACGCTATGGATACCAGCGAAGCTGGAACATCAAGTTCACATGCTAGTCAATCGAATCACAAAAATATCAATGTGTCGGAAGCGCGTATTGGCGATGGTCCATTTTTCATTGGAAATCTATTGAAGAAAATTGCAAAAGCTGATGAGGGCTGTGCTCAATCAATAAATGAAATCCGTCAACGTTTATGGCCAAATCAACGTGAAAAGCAAGCAGAACAAAGAGCCAAAGAAACTAAAGAAAAGGAAGAACGTAGTAAGCGTGCTCGTGAACGTCAACAAAAGCTTATGGAAGAATTTGCAAATAAACAGAAACGATTCATGGAGCAAACAGCTGAAGAAATGGACTATTGTGACTATGATGAACAGGAAAATGATGAAGAAGTGACTAGAGAAAAAGAATATGTATGCATTATATGTAATCTGACTAGCCCAAGTACTGAATCAAATCCAATCGGTCTGGTTGTTCTAATCGAGTCCAGTGGTGTATTTGGTCATCGTAGAAAGTGTGGTGAGAAATTTAAACTGCCACTTAACGATGATGAATCTAGTTCTTTGACAACAGAACGATTTGCAACTGAGTGTACGCATCGAAATCAATTACTTACATATCAATTTGGTGAAGAGTCCTGGTTTTTGACCAGCAATAACTCCTTTGAATCAGGTATATTTGTACAGTCATGCGGTCACTATGTTCATATCGGATGTCATGAGTCTTATTCAAGTTCATTGAGTTCTCAACGTCAACAAAGTTTGAATGTTGAACGCGGTGAGTTTTCATGTCCGGTTTGCCGACAACTGGCTAACGCTGTTTTGCCATTGAGCCCACAAACTGAGACACCAACTTCAGTTGTACGCACTAAGGACGAGAAGAAAAAAGATCATATGCTCAAGTCATTACTGGAAGAATTAACCGTTCTTATCAAGGAAAATGATCAACCTTCGGTAAGATAAATTACTCAATGAATACTAATGATAAAAAATTATGTATTGATTATTTGATTTTCAGCCATCGAGACCAACTAAACTAAATGAGGCAATGGGACGTGCAATGGAAATCATCACAGAATGTACTTATCCAAAATTGTTTTCACCGTCACAGCGAAGGTTATTCTTGTTTGTAACATCTATCGCCCGAACGAACCTGGAGGCTGAAATAATTCAAAGGGGTGGTTCACTTTGTTCGAAAAATGCCTTGCGATATAAGCCAAAGCGAGATTGTCTTGGTAAATATTAATTTTAACATTAATTATAACAGTTTTTCACCGCATTTTATACCAAATAATTTAATTTTTTCAACGTATTTATATAGTGCCTCTGTTGAGCTTATTGTCGGAATATTTACGCCTTTTGGCTGGATGGCCGCTTTGGCAATCTTTCGTGTCTTTGTACGAAGTTCAGTCGATCAATACCGCAACGGTGCCTGCACACTGTCAAGAAATTATTCCCAGTTTGTTGGCAGATCCAATAGCTCTTCTGATTAAATACACTTTATTAGCCCCACTTCGTATGGATATAGGTGAGAATTTTATCTTTATGCACACACTTGATTAAAATAATATTTCTTTGTTTTTTTTCCTCTTTCCAGTTTACTTTACTTGCATCGTAAAAGTAATGTACAATTTGTTGTACTTTCAAGTCATTGTCAAAGTGTGCTCATCTCTAACCGAAGCTGAATGTGATCAGATAATATCAACATACGCAACAAATGAAATGGTGGATTTAGGCAGATTCAATTGCCTTGGATCCGTAATGGCTTTTGTATTGAAGATAACAAATAATTGCCAACAATTCCGAAGAACTTCATTATGCAGCGTACCAATTCCATCTACTTCAACATCCTCTCAACAACAGACTCAACTAAATTTGAATCAAATAGAACAACAATTGCAAAATCTTTGTTTACCTTATCTACGAATTGCGACATTACTTCGACATCATTTATACGAACAAAATCTACCCGTCATTGAAGTTCCACAAATGGAATTTGTGTGCTTAGTTTCTTATTTGGAATTGGTAACGATTGATATTAATTGGAATAGTTTTGATGCAGCTGAAGCATTATGCTTCATTCCTGGTCATGAGCGTAAATTGCCTGAACTATGGTGCAACCAATTGATGAGCTTGCATCGGGGTTCTCAGGCAGAAGAGCAGCACAGAGCTCTCGTCACATTAGTGAACAATCAACATACATTGTGGCAACAGCCAAGACTACTAACTCTTCCACGAGAATATGAAAAACTTTTTACGGTAAATTAAAATACAATTTAGTATATTTAACGATTCATTATAAGTGTATTTTATTCATTTGTGTGAATTTTTAGTACTACCATGAAAAGGTCTGCACAAATTGCAACAATGTACCGAGAGAATGTTCGATTTGTTTGCTTTGTGGAACCATCGTTTGTTTGAAACAACGGTGTTGTGCTGAAGCAAGCTGCTTTGAAGCTGTCAGGGTACGATACATACGAAAATAATATGAGCCGATATGAACCATATTGATACATTTATTTTTTTTACAGCATTCAATGCGATGCGGTGGTGGAACTGGAATATTTTTGGTTGTGCCTTCAACTTATATAATCGTGGTTAGAGGACGAAGAGCATGTCTATGGGGATCACTCTATTTGGATGATTATTTCGAAGAAGATCGAGATTTAAGGTAAAACATTTGAATACATAACAAAGAATGTTCTATATTAACAAGGAATGTAAATCTATAATAATAACCATCTTCAATTTCAGACGAGGTAGACCTTTGTATTTGAGTGAGGAACGTTTCAATTTATTAGAATCTCAATGGCTATCGCATCGCTTTGCTCATACGAAACATACATGGGTTTTGCATAGAGATACACTTTGATTTCTTTAGATAACTATTGAATCGAATAAAAATATAATATTTCAATAAATATTGTTTTAAAAAAAGAATTGATGGAATGTGTAAACACATACCATTCTTTTTTTCAAAAGTCACGTTAAAGAAGCTCAACCTCAATCTAATAAACATGAACACACTGTAAAAATAAATTAAAATATAAAACGATATACAGAAATATAATTTTGTCCTTTTATTTAACATTAAGAAGTCTAATAATAAATTTTTTACAACATGACCACTATGTCGATATTATTGCAATTGAAAAGGTGAGTAATTTTGAATTTCGCTCCAAATGTAAGAAAGTTCAATTTTCATACAATAGCTTTTGATACTGTTGTGCAATGCTGCATGGATAAAAAGCAGCTACGCTTTGGGATGTGTACGTATGTCGTATGTCAACGCACGCTGCTCTCCCGATGCAAGCTCAAGAGATGAGCGACATGATGCTTTTATGCGTGATTTTGCGCTGTAAAAAAATCGATATTCATTGCTGCCAAAGAAAACAAGCAGAGGAGTACACCCAATTACATTTTTCACATTTGAATACACTTTTCACATTGGAAATACTGAAATTTTAGGAATTTTTAACATTTTTTTTCAAAACGTAAAATAATTTTGGTGAAATTCAGTTATTGAAATAGAAATAGTTCAAATACATCGAATATCAAAATGTGCTTCCAATATTTCATAACAATTTCTTACGAATAATTCCAAGTTACCCATTTTTTATTCGGTTTTATTTTGCGTGGAAGTTTTTTATTTTTTTAAATCTGGACATTTTATTCATATATAATAAAAAAAATGTTTTTGAAATACTCGACTGTTCTATTGTTCACAATTTTGTGTTTTTACGGCGGTAAGCTATTTTCAAAAAATGTATGTAAAGAAAAATGATATTCAACTAATTGGTTCTTTTAGTATTTGGGTCAGAGGATGAAGAACGTTTGGTAAGAGACCTTTTTCGTGGATATAACAAATTGATTCGCCCTGTGCACAATATGACCCAAACAGTTGACGTACGATTTGGATTGGCTTTTGTGCAATTAATTAACGTTGTATGTATCAATGGTTTAAGCTTATGCAATGACCTATGTATAAGACCTAACATTTTATCTTATTAAATAGAATGAAAAAAACCAAATTATGAAATCAAATGTTTGGTTGCGATTGGTTTGGAATGATTATCAATTGCAATGGGATGAATCTGAGTATGGCGGTATTGGAGTTCTTCGATTACCACCAGGCAAGTTTTTATTTGAACTCTTTTTTGAATTTTTTTTTTTTAAATTAAAAATATTCTCTCATTTAATTTGAATGTCACACCGATGCAGATAAAGTATGGAAACCAGATATTGTTTTATTCAACAAGTAAGATTATATTATAACAATATAAAATGGCATTCAGTTTCATTCGCAAATTAATATTTCTCTTTTCATTGGTAAATAATGAACAGCGCTGACGGAAATTATGAAGTGCGTTATAAATCCAATGTCTTGATTTATCCGAAGTAAGATTATTACGAAAAATTGGACAATTTAAATTGTTGATAATTTTGTGGATTGCATTCAGCAATTAATTTTTCTTTTTTCTATTGATAAATAAGTGGTGAAGTATTATGGGTTCCTCCTGCTATCTATCAGAGCTCCTGCACAATTGATGTCCGGTATTTCCCGTTTGATCAACAAATGTGTGTTATGAAATTTGGTTCGTGGACGTTTAATGGAGATCAAGTATCGTTGGCACTCTATAACAATAAGAATTTCGTCGATTTGAGTGATTATTGGAAATCTGGAACATGGGACATAATCGAAGTACCAGCATATTTAAATGTGTATAAAAATGCCGGACAACCAACAGAAACTGATATAACATTCAATATAATTATAAGACGGAAAACCTTATTCTACACAGTGAATTTAATCTTGCCAACGGTTCTCATTTCATTTCTTTGCGTTCTTGTGTTCTATTTACCAGCAGAAGCTGGTGAAAAGGTATGTAATATATGTAGAAACATTTTAATAATTAAAAGACATTAATCAATAATATTTGTCATTTTTGAAATGAAATAGGTCACACTTGGTATTAGTATTTTGCTGTCACTGGTTGTGTTTCTGTTGCTGGTATCAAAAATCTTGCCGCCAACATCATTAGTTTTACCTTTGATTGCCAAATATCTGCTCTTCACTTTTATTATGAACACCGTCTCAATTCTCGTGACCGTTGTAATTATCAATTGGAATTTCCGTGGACCGAGAACTCATCGTATGCCATCTTGGATACGAACCGTATTCTTACATTATTTACCAACAATGCTCGTAATGAAACGGCCACGAAAAACTCGCCTACGTTGGATGATGGAAATGCCTGGACAACCAATACCTGGAATGAGTATGCTACCTTTATTATTATTTGGATTTTTTGAAATCATTTCTATTCTTTTGTCATTCACCCCCAGGTATGCCACCTCAGCCGAACTATGGATCTCCAACAGAATTGCCAAAACATATCAGGTAAACGATATAAAAACGCCTGTATTTTCAAACTTCAAAATATTAATGTATAAATATATTTAGTGCAATTGGTTCGAAACCATCCAAAATGGAAGTAATGGAATTGTCCGATTTACATCATCCAAACTGTAAGATTAATCGCAAATTGAACAGTGGAGATATAAGTGGAATTGGGGATCGCAGGGAAAGCGAGAGTTCAGATTCAATTATACTCTCGCCCGAAGCAAGTAAAGCAACTGAAGGTATGTACTCATTTTTTTCCCTTAAATAGATGCAAATAATATGGCATTTTATTACTTATTGTCTATTATAGCCGTGGAATTTATTGCTGAACACTTGAAAAACGAAGATTCATATATTCAGGTTTGTAAAAGAAATTCATGTCTTCGATCCAGCTATTTCATTTAAAAAATACCCGTTTTGTATTTTATAGACTCGTGAGGATTGGAAATATGTTGCAATGGTAATCGATCGCCTTCAGCTCTACATATTTTTCATTGTTACTACCGCTGGTACCGTTGGTATCTTAATGGATGCACCGCATATTTTTGAATACGTCGATCAAGATAAAATTATTGAAATCTATCGCGGCAAATAAATAAATGCAAACGATACAAATTAGTTGTTTCACAAAAAATGCAAAATAACGAAATTGAGATGTAGTGAAATTTCATAGTGCATGCCAAAATACCAATTTTTAACTACTTGCAGATACATGCCAAAAATATGAATGTCGAATAAATTATTAGAAAATTATTATTGAATAGAAAATATTTGGGAAAAAAATCGACATTAAAATATGTTTCATAACATACAATGAATGAAATATTTAAAGAAGAAAAAAACAACATTGATGCATTTAAGTGAGATAACAGCACCAATAGCCACACGTTATAGATGAAAAATAATGCATTGAAACTCAATAAAGTATCACATATTCACGTAAAGTACCCGACAACTGTAATCGTTTTATTATTTTTTCAAATTGATAAGTACATTTTTAAACAAAAATACAGCAGAGGATCGAATGTGCGCTGGTGGCAAAAATGTAAATCTACGATCTGTCAATCGTATTTGTAGACGTATGTAAAGACGCCATTTTTACTTCTTGTCACAGACGATATGAGATCAAACAAAAACACCTTTTATCAATCATTTTTTTTGTTCATTTCATTGTGAAGATACATTTCACATAAATTGAGATTAGATTTATGGTCAGAATAAGTTCCATGCCAAAAACTCTGTGAGTTTAAAGTAAAATGGAACAAAAGAAAAACAACGATGACCTAAGTCAGCATTTGTATAAAATCAAGCAAGACGATAATAGTAAAGTGACTGCAAACAATAATAACACATCGTCTGGTGTGCCTAATATGATGAACGTGGAATTATGTTTAGTATGTAGCGACCGGGCAAGTGGCCGTCATTACGGTGCAATTAGCTGTGAGGGCTGCAAAGGCTTCTTTAAACGATCTATTCGAAAGCAATTAGCTTATCAGTGTCGTGGCACCATGAACTGTGAAATCACAAAACACCATCGAAATCGATGCCAATATTGTCGCCTACAAAAATGCTTGGCATGCGGAATGCGCAGTGATTGTACGTAATCAAAATATCAATGTTTTCAGTTTTAAAATGTACACAAAAAACGAAATTCTTTTTAATTGATAAAAAATCAAAAATTAAATTTCAAGCTGTTCAACATGAACGAAAGCCCCTGTTAGAGAAAAAAGAGGTCACATCATCGACAAACAGTGTATTACATAATGTAAACGATACATTCGCATCAAATACAAACAGCAACAGTGCCAACGTTGGAAAACAATCGTTTGGTGCAAATAACATAAACAGTCTAAGCAGTATTTTGCCCGCACACATATTTGCGAATTTCACATCAAATGTTGCCCAACAAGGTACATTCCAACTGATTTATCAATGATAATATTGGTATTATTGATGTCCAAGCTGTAAAAAAAAACTAACGTTTTATTTTAGTCTTTACAAATTCATATCATGAACGATTGGGTGCATTGGCCGGTTTGGCGGAGAATGCTGGTGGTGGAACAAGTGAAATTGATGACAACTCCCTTGACAATATGCCTACAAATTCTCAATCTACAATTCCAAATGAGAATGTCTTGCAAACTGTTATTGATAAAAATATAATTGCAGAAGCACAAGAAATCATTTCAAGCTTACAAGTTGAAGGACAAAACAATAATGAGTTTAGCGACTCAATAAAAAATGATCCTGACTCCTGTATATCATCGAATAATGATGATATTGATGAGTTCGAGGATGAGATGAGTTCATTTTCTGATGGACCGATGCTTCCCGAGAGGGATATTATTTTTAATCTACAGGCACCGCAATTTGTGCCAAACTACTTAAACATGCATTACGTTTGTGAAACTGGCAGTAGAATCTTTCTCCTATCGATTTGCTGGTTTAAAAAGTTTCATGCATTTAATTTGTTAAGGTGAGTTGAGATTTTGACACATGAGAAATTGTGGTAGAACATAATATTTTCATAATTTCTTTAAAGCGTGAAGACACAGGCACTTCTCTTGCAAAACTGTTGGATTGAACTGTTTTTCATTGGTTACGCACAATCTTCACATTCTGTATCACTTCCCACCGTTATCAATTCATTGTCAAACATTGTTGAAAGTGCAATTACACAAGAAAAAATGCAACCGAGCAAACTAAAAAGACTATCTGAACATATTTGGAAGATAAATGACATCTTTCAAGAATTAAACAAAATGAACTTGGATGATTTTGAGTTTGCTTTTCTTAGATTCATCATCCTTTTCAATACAGGTAAATGCAGTTGGTTTATATTTGGAAAATTGTTGTTAACGAAATAAATAATTTCATATTTATTGAACAGATAATGGACGCAAAATGGACGCAAATCAACGTGTTAAAATTGAACGAATACAAGATATGTTTATAAAGGGCTATTTGCAACACAAACAGATGGAGTTTGACTTCAGTCGTTTACTAAAACTTTTACTTAAAGTTCATTCGTTGCGTTCTCTTGATTCTGATCTTATTGAAGAATTGTTTTTCTCCAAGTTAATTGGAATGCTTCAAATCAATAATGTTATATCGCATATATTAAGTTTGGGCTCCGAATATGCAGCTGAAATTTAATTCATAGAGGCGAATACTAATTTTGCAAACTTGTCGAATAAGGATGCACACAACGACGGCTAGATTTTAAGGTATAAAATATTTTTAGCAGTTTTTGACGATCATTATTTTGAACTAAATTATTTCAATCATGGTATTCAGTAAGATTATTTTGATATCCATAATTAATAAATGAAACATACGTGCAAGCTCGATTTAGCTGAAAGCTACAATAATAATGAATTCAAAGCTACTTAAAAATCTTCGAAATATGAAATCTGTTAGTTCTAATTTAAATGTTCCGGACGTGCCGTTATTATTCATTGTGCCGGCAATACTAATATATAAATTAAGACGATATCAACTTAAAGTCTACACATCTAACGTCCGCAAACAAAATGCATTAAAAACTATTTTATTTTATTTTATTTTATCATTAAATAAACAATATTCATTCATAAAAATTCAGCTTTGTTGATTATTTATGTTGTTGAATGAAAACATATCTAAAGGTATGTCTGTTGCATGTGTTAAATCACCAACAGAATCGTTTCCACTAGACTTTCCAAGTTCCGCCTCAACAGCATTATCAGTGATTTGATCATAACTAACTTCATTGACTTGCGGAAAGAGATTCAAATTGTATCCGAGTGGTTGCAAATTTGAAATGTCTGTTGGTCTATCTAAACATTTCGGTTGGTCTTTTTTAATATACGGTCCGAAAGTGTTATTGTTTTGTTGAACGTTATCGTCAAATGCTTTATCGTTGAGTTGAACCAAACCTTCAGGTAATTCGAGAATTTTCGACACATTCTTATCTACATAATATTCAGTCGATGGATGTGTGCCTTGTTCTGTTTGCAAGATTTTTGGTTTAATTAAATGAACAGTATTAACAAAATTTGAGATTTCTGCCAAGAACATTGATATTCGTTCGGTCTGTGATGCCCGGCCCACAAATTTCATGAGTTCATCAAAAAGAAAACTATTTGTCCCATTCGAAAGGCCGTTCGTTTGCGATTGACTTTTTTGAATTGAGTCTTTGTGATCAGGAAATGCGATATAGTGCTTAAGCAGTTTTTTTCGTCCCAAATACACCTGGAATTGAAAATTTAAACTTTAAATCCAATCACATAAATACAAACACACGGAAATAGATATATTTACCTTTTTACAAACACCACAAGTGAATTTGTCAACATTTTTGCGAATTTTTTTCGGTTCGGGAACGGATTGAGGTTCTGAATTTTGGATTTCGTGTGCCGTTGTGGCAGATACTCTTGCATCTTTGATATCAACAAATTTACTCATATGTTTCGGTGGTCTTGACACTCTACCATATCTAGTGCTTTTGAACTGAACAATGTTATCATCCGATTTGTCATCAATGGCGGTTTCATCGGTCACACGGTGTTCGTCGTCCGATTTTCGCGGTCTACCGCGACGTCTTCGTTTCTTAGATATGGTTTGTCCGCTAATTTGCGGAACGATTTTTGTCTTTTTCACCAGATTAAAATTTTTGGGATAAACTAAATGATAGCACACATGTGTATCGTTAACTACATCGTTAAATATAACACTTGTTAAATTCGTAAGGTCCATGTTTATAACTAAAAAATAATTCAAAATAGAAATTGTTTACGGCGTACTATGTATTTTGTTTACTTCAACAATATTTGACATATAAACAACAATGCATTGAAGTTGGTTGCGGTTTTTTCGTTACACCGTCCATTGACAGAACTATGAAAACTCATAACTGATAAACATTTTTAAATACCTTCATATATAATCAGCTGATTGACTGACATCAAAAATTTCACTTGATTCCGCTGGATAAGCTTGAAAAAAAGTTTTTTTTTTTTTTCATGTTTTTATTATTTATAATAATAGTTAGTTGTGTTAATTGCTATTCTTATCCATGTTTGTTATTAAACGCCGATTTTCCACATTTCTGAGTGAAAGAAATAAAGTATTTCAAAATGCTTGCAGAGTATTTGCTGAAAAAGAGTTAAAACCGGTGGCAGATTTACACGATAAATTATCAAAGTAAATATCAAAAAACCGTAAATGTATGAACACATGTATTATTAAATAATTTTTAATGTACCATGCTCTGCAGGTTTCCCAATGAACAAATTGGAAAGTTGACTGAACTGGGTTTAATGGGCGCTTGTATTGATCAAAAGTACGGTGGTAAAGGATATGATTTGTTATCATTTACACTGGCTATAGAAGAGCTATCGAGATGTTGCGCAAGCACAGGAATAATTGCTTCAATCCACAATTGCCTTTATGCTAATTTAATTCAAACATATGGAACACCTGACCAAATTAACGAATTCCTAATTCCATTTACAAAAGGAAAAATCGGAGTTTTTGCGCTAAGCGAACACGGTAAATTGGAATGTTTAATTCTAATTTACTTGAAATTAACCATTTTTTCTTTAAAATTTTTTTCTTAGATGCTGGTTCAGATGTGGCAAATTTATCAACAACAGCGACTGAATGTGAAAATGGCTACAAATTAAATGGTCACAAAGCATGGGTAACTGATGCTATCCATTCTTTCGAATATTTTTCCATTACTTCCATTTCATGCAATTTTTCTTCTGATCATCCCTAGGTAACTTCGGCGATTGAAGGCAAAGCCGGCGTATTTTTTGCATACACGGACAAAAGTAAAGGGCACAATGGCATTACTGCCTTTATCATTCCTTTGGATACAGCCGGTGTTCAATTAGGTCCTCGGAACGAAAAATTAGGTTTAACACATCAACCATAAATTAAATTACATTTCAACTAATTGTTTTATTTTTTTAAAGGTATTCGGGCCGCATCGACTTGCGATATTTGCCTAAATGATGTGAAAGTATCACATTCGAATGTAATAGGTGCTATTGGAAATGGTTTTAAAATCGCGATGGAGCAATTACAACTGGGAAGAATTGGGGTGGCTGCCCAAGCAATTGGTATTGGGCAGGCTGCTTTTGATCTAGCGATAAAGTATTCATATGACCGGAAAGTTTTCGGCGAAAAACTATGCGATAAACAACTGGTCAAGGTAAAGCTTAAATTTTAGAATTAATCTTCTTCCTTTATTGATTATTCGTCTGCATTATTACCTATAGAGTAAACTGGCGAAAATGGCGATTGATTTAGAATCAGCACGTTTATTGTGTGAGTAAAACTTTTTACATTTTTATTTGATACGAAACGTCTTAATTCATGTTTTCAACATTCAGTGTGGAAAGCCGCAATGTTACGAGATAGTAACGAAGATTTTCGAAAATTGAGTAAGTACATGTACCCCTTAAATATTATCATACTATTATAAAATGATTGTTATATTATCAAGGTTCTATGGCAAAGTTTGCGGCAAGTTGTTGTGCAAGCAGCAACGCAAATTTATGTGTTCAAATACTTGGTGCAAAAGGATATATGAGTGGTGAAGCTGAAAGACTATATCGAGATTCCCGGATAACAAAAATTTATGGTGGCGCAAGTGATATACAAATGTTAGTAATTGCAGATCTTCTTCTAAAGGAAACGAAGTCTGAATGAATGGACATGAAACAAATTTCTATGGTGATGGTATTGTATTATTCATTGATGTCTTGCAAGAAATAAACGATTGTATTTTATTTCAATTTTTTCTAATAAAAAAGAAAACTAAACTTTCGGTGTTAATTTGTGTTGGAAATTACTGTGCACCCAGCCTGCGCACTTCTTATACAATTCGATATAAATTTTCATAAATTTTGATGATAATTGAAGTTAATTGAACTATATTTAGAAGAACTAGAATTCATTTTTTATTTCACATCTTTTTTTAAATAAAAAAAAGATAATATTATCTAATTACTATCTTGAACTATGGGATGAAAAATAAAACTACAGTTTTTGTTAATAAATATTTAAAAAAATAGAGAGGAATTAAACTTTTGCAGTGGAATGCTTCGGAACGATATGTACGACAGCCACTGGTCGATGATTTTTGTACAGAAAAATATTTTTCATGGGAGTTCGATGATTCGTGTGCTGATTGTTGTAGTACGGTATCCTTCTTAATGGTGGTCCACGTATATTCGTCACTGTACCATAATGTGTGTGGTAATGTTGTGTGATGGGTACATTTGTTGTCGTTGTGGTTGTCGTTTTTGCTGTTGTTGACGATGTCAATGTCATGGTTGGCCTTTTATTATAGTTTGAATATGGTGATACTATCGGCACAAAGTCCGTTTGTAATGGAATATCATCACTTTCTGTTGATGAATACGATGGTGTGGGTAAATATTTTGTAATATCAAGAAGTGCTAATTGAGATGGATCATTGTACAGGTTAAACATCGGTAATGGAGTTTTATTTATAGATGGATTTCCTCTTATATTATTTCTTTCTTTGTGGGCGTTCAAGTACTTTTCATTTATATTCAACTTATTTGTGGGCTTTACCGTAACTGGATTTGAATTAAAAGTGCCAACCGCAAAACTATCGCTTACACCGTAGTCAGAGAAGATTCTTTGATTTTCGTTAAAAGAGTTGTATTTTATGTTATCCATTACATCACTATGTACAATTTCTGATATTGTTTGAATGCTATCTGCTTCCTGCATAATATTTGTGAACATATTATGAGGTTTTGGTTGTGATATACTATCTTCCTGAAACAGAGGATTATTCAGTGGATTTTTACCAAATAACTTTCGCTTTAAACAAATTAATTTATTCTCCAAATTTCCAAGTCGTTTTTTGGGACCATTTGTGGTATTGTGTGCAATTGACAAGTCAATTTGTTCATCCAAGTCTTCACAATCTTCCGCCTTTGATTCGTATAATTCACTGGAATAGTTTTCATCCACAACTGGTTTTGCGTATTCCGAGTATTTAATAGGTGAATCTTTGATACTTTCAACGGTTTTATTGTATAGAGGATATTTTTTATTTGTGTCTGGTATAATTTCACTGCTGTTCAAATAATCCGAAACATTTCTTATCAAATTGTCCAAATGATCAAGCAGCTCTTGTCCTTTAAGATCTTTCGGATTCGTTGAGCGTCGTGTTCGTGATCGATATTCAAGTGATTTGTCTTCAACACCATGTTCGTATTCTTTATCTTCATATCCATCCTCAGTATATACTATGTGTGCACCCGATTCACGTAGGCGCTCTCTTATCGTGGGCTTGTGCATTTTTCGTGGTTTGTGCTGAATCTTTTTAAATCCTCTCACAGAGGACATAATTCGTGTTGGTACAAAATCTTCGTGAGAAGTTTTACTCTTATCCATTCGAAGACTTCGGTACGGTTTTGGATGCTTAATAACCTTTGTTAGATAAATAGCAAAGCCTTTCGGTCGTTTATTGTTCACATTATTTTTTGTGTTCTCTTCAAAATTTACATTTCCACTTTCGTTTTCATCTTCAGGCAATTCCGTTAGGTCTGAATTTGGATGTTCACAATTCTTATGTTTTGTGTGATCCATACGATATTGATCCATTTCATCGGTATTGACAACATCATAGCTGTAACCACTTTCATTTTCAATACTCGACGATGTAGGATGTGAAAGTTTAATCATCGAATAATGTTGTGGCTTTTTATTAATTTTACGACGAGATTTCTTTAATTTGGCACCATTGTTATGAAGTTTTAATCGTTCGGATGTATTTTGTTCGAGCTCATCACTATAAATTCCACTACCACTATCACTTGTATGAGGTTTATCTTTTGAAACTTCGAATTTATTTTCATGATCGATTTTAATGTATTTTATTCTACTTCGAATGTTTGGCGATGTATTTGCGTAATTAGTGGAAACCGGTCGTTTGATATGTTTCTTCTTCGGTTTTACTCGTTTCACCGTTTCACGTTCTCTGTTGAGACTTTCGAAGCGTTTAAAATCCGGTTCTTTATCTGGAATTTTGGCGAAATCTATCTGATAATTGAAATTCTGGTAAGCCGTCTCTGGATCGTCCTCGACGAAAGTGCGTACTTCATTTTTTGGTATAGCTGTAAAACGATACGGTCGCTGCTGTGACATCATTAAATCGGTTACGTTGAAGGTTGTAAACGTCTGGTTGAAATTGCGTGGATCATTTGGTGGCCACATATTTATTATGGGCGGTTGTGGTACATTTCGATTGAAATTAAAGTCAAAGGATCGATTAAACAATCTGTCGGGAATAAAATATGCAATTTGTGGTGGTATCCTCTGCGAAACGGAATCAATGCTAATTGTTAATTTATCTGCTTTTGGCTTTTCGTTTGCTCCAGACTCAGCAGAGAAGACAGCAAATACAGTCGACTGAACAAAAAACACCCCGAAAATAAAAAAATGAACCGACTTTTCCATGTTGTACGATTGATTTAATGCAAATAACTGTGCCGCGGGCACAAGTTAGTATTTTATTTATATCACTTTCTTTGAGAATCATGAGAACCATGGTGGAAAGGGAACATTTTGCACACATTATAAGTAAAGAGCGTCAACATCTTAGCACACTTGCATATCTTTATAAAACGGCCTTTTCATCGTTGCTCATTGTGTAGTAGAATGTCATTAAAGAGGAATATGATAAATATTTTCACTTTTCTTTTGTTTGATTTTCGAAAACAAGTTTTCGTCTGGTATGGAATTGAATGAAAAAAATATATTAAAATAGAAACACATTTACAGTTAATCTCTTCGTCTTTTCTTTCTCTTGTCACATTATGCGTGCAATTTAAGAGATCACCGATGCTTATTGAACCATGCATGTGTTGCGCTTGTTCTACAAATTGATAATTCGATATTGGAAAAAAGTCGTGACGAAATTGATTTTTTTGTGAAGAATTTTTTCCGGAAGTTTTTTTTTCGTTAAATGTAAATTATGTATTTTCAATAATTTTGATTTACGTAAGTGCAATATGTGTTTTTTTTTTGTAAAGAATCAGTGGCTACGCTTCGTTGACCAATTCGATATTTATATATTTTGTTGTTATATGCTTCATTTCTGTTTAAGTTGTTCCAAATGTTATTACAACAATACTAGACGTAAGCAACTCGACACCATCGATGTTGTTTGCCAATCGATCTCTCAAATTTGATATCTTATAGTATGAGCACAGTAAGAACGTCAAAGTTACCATTACCATTAATCCCAGTTAAAATGCATAATACTGATTATTTTATTTATTTTGATTACTTTTTCGTACAGAAATTCCGAATAATTCAATTATTTGTGGTTAAAGTATTCATCTATTAACTTTTCGCATGCGGATATCTTAAAAAGATTGTTTACTTTCGCTTGAAAACGTTGACCTTTGCCTCTGCCTTTACCATTTAATACTTCACAAAGTTTGTCTCCCAAATCAGCAACGACATTTTCATCACCATACAAAATCATATTGCCTCTCTCGCCACTTTCTTCCGCAGAAGTCAAGAACAAAAGTGATAAACCATTCGATGCATTTTTGATTTCCGGTACATTTTTTAAAAATGTACTGATAAAATCGGTATCGATACCATCTTTTCGATGTAATGAATACCATTTTGGCTGAGGATTGATTAGTTTCAACCGTGCTGCCTCGTGAACTGCCAACTCTTTCAAGCATAATGAAAGAGCTTTTTGATTTTGTTTCTGATTTATTTGAATTTTTTTCACTAATTCGATATGCCATTGAGGTCCGCCTCTGAAATGTAAAAAAAAAATCAATTTTACCAAAATGATATAATATATTATATTGTGTAAGCCAAATTTACTTTAAGATTGTATTAAATTCATACTCCCGGTCAATGCATTCTTGAAGACGTTTCAAAACGCGTTTACCCACTAAAAAATTCAAGAATTGTCGATTCTTATTTTTCTCAAGATTAAGTAGTTTAATGCATTGTAATTGGGCCAAATTTGAAACATGTGTTCCACAACACATGTTTGCATCAATTCCTTCTATCTCTATAATACGTATATCTCCAACATGATCTTTAGGTAAGCCTTTGGTTGCTCGGGTGATCTTTAGAAAAAATTGATAAGTGTGATGACTTGTTCAATCTCAATAGCCGTTAGTTTTTGGACACAAATAATTTACCTCGGCAGGAATATCAGCTTCATTTTTATCGGTCAAAGTGTGAACAGAAACTGGCGTTGATGTTGCAATCAACTCATTGCATATGTTTTCTATGTTTGCAATTTGTGCGGCAGTAAGATTAATTTTTGGATCGATCTCTATGAATGAAAGTTCAGTTCCTAGCCACCACGATTTTGTTGCCACATTATATTCGCGTTCCAATATGGCCGATAATAAGTGTTGTCCTAATGTTTTAAAATACAAATAGGCATAAATTGATAAGTATTGGTAATATTTCTATTTTCATCTAACCTGAATGTTGTTGCATATGATCATGTCTTCTTTTCCAATCTATCTTGCACTTTACAATATCACCAACATTGAATGGAGGTGATTGTGTTTCAGAATCACACACGAAATGATGGGCCTCTATTCCTTTTCGCTGTACATCGATGATCGGCTTGTCATTCATAAAGCCAAAATCGCAAGGCTTTTATTCACAGTAACGATAATAAAAATTACGTTTTTGGTAAAGCATGTAAATTAATATTCACTCAATTTACCTGTCCACCCCCTTCTGGAAAAAGAATAGTGTCTTCCAGCACAACATTGAATCCATTGACACATTCGTCCTTACCGCTGGAGCTCTTTTTCTTCAGCGAAGCGGGTTCACATAGAATAACTTTAGATTCAAACTCAATAGAAAATAATTAACTAGACATTTTTAGTAGTACATCAAAGTATTATATACTACAATAAAAAAACTTCTTTTAAACAAATGATTGTTGGGTGTTGTGGGTATTCAATTTCAATGTAATTCACGTAATATGTTGAGATAAAAATTTACCTCTTGCAAGAAACTATCTATTTGACATTTGAAAACCATTTTTCAATTCGAAATATAAATATAACTAAATCATAACAATATATAAATGGTTCATATAAATGTTATCAATTTCCTGAAATTTTTCATTGACAGTAGGACACTAGAATAAAGGTCGATTTACATGAAGAATTCTGTTTAACTGGTAACTTTAACAGGTTTGGAGAAATTTTGACATTTGACAGAAAATGACATTTGCTTCTCTACATGCATCATGATGACAAACTCCACGTAAACGATGTTGGCGCTGACTTTCTATGCTATATTCCACGACGTTTTTGTTCACATTCACTTTGTACTGTAAAGTCGCCGTGTGTAAGTTGAGCCCGGTTTAGTGAACATTAAGATACCTTTCAAACAACTCAATAAAGAGGCTTTCTCTCTACAAAGATTTTGAAATAATATTTGGTTTAAATAAAAATAAATCCTGTAAAAATGAAATACTTTTGGTTAATTTCCCTTTTGGTGCTTCCATCCCTGATTTCTTTATTCAATAATGGTGAGTATGAAATAAAATTATAGTGAAAATTAGTTCATAAGCATTATAAACTTGTCTATTTGACGTGGCATACATAACTTAATGTTTGATAATTAATATACAATTATGATAGACATCATCATTAAATTCATGATTTGTAAATTGCAAATCTTTAATTCGTTCAAGCTGAAAAAAATTTATTTAAAATTTTCACAGTTTAATTTCAGTCATCTTTTTTCTCTTGTAGTAAAATCATATCTTATGCATTTCAGAAAATATCATTGCATAAAACTTTCTTTCAAATTTCAGATAACAACATATTTGCAAATGCAACTGAAACAGCTGAAGCTGAAGATGACATAATTGATGTTGAATCTGATGATGGTGCATCCACACCTGAATATGAAGATGATTCTGGATCGAAAACATCACCCGACGCTGACACATATTTGTTGTTCACAAAACCATTGCATGTTCCAGGAAATCCATTCGAACTTCCAGGCGGACTGCCCGTCGAATTTCTGGTTGGTTTCTTGAATAAAGGTCTTGATGAATTTGTCGTAGAAAGTGTTGAAGCATCGTTCCGTTATCCAATGGACTTCAACTATTTCATTCAAAACTTTTCGGCCATTTCGTACAATCGTGAAGTGAAATCAAACCATGAAGCCACCGTATCTTATTCATTCCTTCCATCTGAAACATTTGCCGGACGTCCATTTGGATTAAATATCGCTCTAAACTATCGTGACGCAAATGGTGCCCGTTTCTCTGAATCTGTCTTCAACGAAACTGTTCAAATCACTGAAGTTGATGAGGGTCTCGACGGTGAAACTTTCTTCTTGTACGTTTTCTTGGCCGCTATTGTCGTTTTACTTCTTGTATTGGGTCAACAATTCCTTGCTGGATCGGTAGGCAGACGTAAGCGGGCTCAAGTTGCTCGCAAAGCCATTGAAACTGGCACAACAAACTCAAGCGATGTTGATTATGAATGGTTGCCACAAGAAACATTGAAAATTATTCGTAAGTATTTTGTTACATCATACTATTGTTGAAATATATCGTTGATTTAAAATGTGTTAACTTTTATTTTTATTTTTATACAGAACAATCGCCGAAGTCGAAAAAATCGCCAAATTCACCAAATGGCAAAGTTTCAGCTAAACAAAGCCCAAAGTCAAATACATCAAGTCCAAGACAGCGCAAATAATTCATTAAATCACCAGATTGATTTACCTCATCTAGAATATATCAATTATTGTGGAATGCATTTACAAGACGGAGACTGAGAGTTTGCGCGTAGAATGAGTGCTTTATGTTTTTTTTTTGATACCCAAAATAGTTTATATATGCATGTACTTCTTCTCAAATTTTTTCTATTTGCCATAGGACATTTAAATATGAGATTTTCACGGTGCTACTTTCTGTAGCACTATCATACATCATTAACAAAATTGCAATAATTTGTATGAGTGATATTGTGTGGATGTTGAATGAATGTCAGAAAACCTCATGGAAATCTTGTAAATTCAAATCACAAAGATGTCGAATAAAGAATACACAAAACTGTCACCTTTAATTTTTACTTAAAAAGAGATTCGTTTCGTTTCGTTTTGGAAATTAAATAAAACAATCAATAAAAAACCGTTGTTCTATAAATTATCTCATTATCAGTAGTTTGTGTCGGTAAATTATAGGATAAAAAAACTCATTCTCATTTTGAATGCAGCTTTATTTATTGCGATTTTTTAAGTAAATAAATGCACAAAAATGAAATTTTGTTTTATCAATGCATTCTTACATGATATGATTGTTTATTTTTGTCTCAAGTATAAAAAATCACATACAATCGTCATATCGTACTGTGAAAATTTGTTCTGGATGGCACAAAATAAAAGAGTATTTAAATTTCACCATTTAGATATGGTAATATATTCTTCTTAAACCACTCTGTGGTAAACTTGAGATGATTTCCTTCTGTTTCTAAGAACACAATGGTATTCGATGCAACCAAGTCGTTGAGTCCCAAATTTTTCTGAAATATAAAGAAATAAAATAAAAATTGCAAATTATATATTAAAACTTGAACCGAATTCCAAGACTTACAGCTGCATTACTCTCAGCCAATGGCTGAATGACCCTGTCCTGATTTGGCGTATAAAATTGAAACCATTCCGTATCAATTGGTTGCACTATTGTATCGTTTGAAAACTTTACTAGCACAAACCTGAAACAAAAATGTCGCTTGATTTATTCTTATTGTTCATTTTTCTAATTAATTTGATTTTTTGATTAGACTAACTTGTTTAGTTTTTTTAAATTCTCTACATAAGTTTGATTGATGTTTAGTTCGTTATTGATGTCGGACAAAAAAGTACTCGATTTTCGATAAATTTCCTCTTTCAATGGATTGTGCCAGTAAGTTGCTTGAACTAAATAGTCTTGCAACCAGCTGAAAATATTCTAATTGTTTATTCAAAACCAAGCTTATTTAAAACTTTTGCCTCTATTTCACCTTGTGTAGGCCGCATAATTCAGCATTTTCCGGAATTTATCGCATGTCTTCGAACTTAAAGAAGGGCAATTGGGAAGGCCAAAAACACCTAAAATACAATACGACTGTTTTTGAAATCTGTATTTTTTGCCAAATATTTGCGGAATTCTCCACAAAAGTAAATTTAGTAATTTTTGTGATTCCATGTTCAATTTAAATATAATATACATTTTTTACCCTGATGTTGTCCTCCAAGCGATATCAAATTGTTCATTCGAGGTTCAGGACATCTTTGCGCAACAGCACGCCTTAAGAAAACAATGAATTTTATTTCAGTGAAAAAAGACAAAAATCGTCAATTCATCGAGTATAATTACAAAAATTGCGACCCCTGAGAGAATCCAATGGCATTGTACCTGGAGGAGATCACAAAAGAAAAGAATAGAGTTAATATAAAATAATCGAAATAATCGAAAAAAAATCCATAACAATAATTAAATAATAGAAAGGCAATTTTTAAGTGAATTGTACCCATTTTGCAGTTTTGGATCTGATGCAATTTGTTGACAAGCATTCTCGACTTGTTTGTTTGGATGCACAAAATACCCACTCTCATAATCTTCAACAACGTTGTTACCGATTCGAATAGACTTGACATAAACATTTGACCCGAGAATATTTATCAAAAAATCGCGAAACGAACCCAAACTGAATGAAAAACAACAGGTATCACCTGAAATAAACGAAATTTAATTTTAAATGTGTATGTATAGTTAACGGAAAAAAACTTTTTTACCCATTCCATGCCACATAACAATAGGGAGTGATTTATTCGTTGCATCTTCGCCCAAAGAAATCCCCATGTATCCGAACGCAAATAGACAAAGAATTATTTTCAACATTTTGTTTCGACTTTATATCACTATACTTTGATTATAGTAACACAAACAAGTCAAAATCAATTGAATAAGTACCCAACAAATGATTAAATGCTTATGTCAACTGATTGAATTAACCGAACTCAATGCCATTACAAACACATGCTCATCACTCTTGTCATACTAGCAACTGCTAGAAAAGTCATATAAAGAGTGGGAAATTCAAATGGTTTCACTTGATATTTTGGTAAATAGGTACATAGCCCTGTAGCTTGAATGTTGAGTTAAAATATATTTTATCATCAACACACGTGTGAAATGTATTTATTATAGTTAAATTGTACAGCAATTGTTGTATTCTCCACTATTAGACTAATTAATTAATTTGTATGCTTGGCTTGAATCATATTTGTGCAATGTAAATAACATACATTTTTTTATTTTATCGTGCATGAATTTATATATAGAATTCATAGTATAATCCCGAACTCATTTTTTTGTCAAAATTCACGTAAATTTGAGCAGTGCTTTTGATACAACCTGAAAAAAATGCAATATATACAAGTTTGAGACCACCTATGTATTTTTCATATAAAATGGCGTAAAATACCATTTTTTTAGGTTTCAAAAATAATACTTTTTATTCTCAGAAATCAATGATTTTCGGCATATTGTTTCAATATCTTATGAAGAACAAAATAGTAAATATTTACCAATGATAGCTAAAAACAATTCATTTTCATACAAAATTTGTCATTTTTATCTGTGATTGAATCAAAGACTTGAAAGATTTTTTAGAAAATTCTCTAATTCTATCAATGTGGAGGGTAATTTTGGAAACTCAATGAAATTTCTTCGAGAAATAGTAAGAAAAAGAAAGATTTATAGAAAATATCACAGAAACTCAAGCCAAACCCGTAAACCTTAAGTGCTACAACATTCTCAGGTTCTCTTTACTCCTGTCGGACGAATTTCTTTTTGCTTACATTTAAAATCCAAAAGGTCTAATTTCCAATTAATTTTCTGAAAAACTAGTCTAAATTCTTGGACTTTACTTCAGAATCACTTAAAAATTGTTCAAACGCAAATATAATTGTTTTGATTTTTTTATTATTCATATTATGGATTTGGCAAATAAGTAATTAATCAGTTTGAAAAGAAACTTAAATCTAGTCATGTAAACACATATCCATTCAAATAGAAATTGATTTAATCATGTTAAAATTATATGGTTATAGTACACTCAGATAAAAGTATTTTTCAGCTTTCATTCATTCGATTCGTATTCACTGCAAATTGTTTATGCAGTCTTTTATTCTATTTGTTTTGTTCATGTTCTTTTTATATACAGTAGACAGTTCAGAATCAAGATTGAACACATGCGGTACATTTTCCAACCCCCGAATCGATGCATACTACTCCATTCATAATAAAATGCGCCTATGCATGGAACAATCAGAAGAAATAACAATACGTGTGGTAGCATGTCGGTTCTCTCCGCAATTTAATTCATCAAATTATTTTGCTTGTGTATATGATTTTCATTCATTTTTGCCATTTTTGAAATGATATGTTCAGATGGGTTTGCGATTTTTTTTTTAATTAATTATGTTGCATTCAAAAAGAAGATATAAAACAAGTTATGCATCTTTCAATAATTTTTCTCTCTTTAAATTGAATTTATTCAATGAAGTAAGAATTTTCTAATGGTTTAAAAATCTTGATATGAAACGTTGACTTACACAAAATATGAATTATAAAATGAAAAAGTTGAAAAATATAAATTCTTCGTCATCTGCATTTTCTTTGCAAAACTCTATTAAGCGAGATTATTATTGTTATACTATATTTTGAATCCATTTCATTAATTGCTGCTCTTCAGAATAATAGACAGAATAATCATTTATCCAGCACTGAAATTAGTACATTTGCGCCTATAGACTCTATATCCGTTTGAATGCATAGTATAACAACAACAACAAAAAAGAATAATAGAGATAGCGAAATGGAATATAATTCAAACGAAATATTCTGAAATTAAAAAAGTGCAAAAAACGTGAACAGGAGCACGACAAAAAATATTTAAACATCTTTTTCAATTTGCTATTGTTATTTGTGCATTGTTTCATGAAAATGTTCGTGTTTATTTTTATGAATTTACTGAAATCTATTTATGGGAAGTTATATGAAAACATCATAAAGGCCACAAATGATGGAAATAAAATGTTGAAAAAGAGGGAAATAAAATCATCCCAACAAAAGGAAATTAATTTTTACTGAGTATAGGCTCCACCTCTGTTCCATTTTTGATTAATTTTACTTTATAACAATAGACTCAGCCAACGACGCTGAGAACAATGATACAATAAAACAGTGTGCACGACAACACAAACGCTTTTCATATTCCATTAGAATGTGTATATATTATTTTTTGATTACATAAACTGACAATCCTATAACTGAATGCGACTTACATTATTTGAAATGCTACCATTCCAATCAGAAAGGTACAGTACAGCCAAATTAAATGACATACCACCAGTCTACCAACGTTTCATTTAGCTCAACTTTGTCTGCTGTCTGCAAAATGCAAATGTGTCATAAATTGGAATATAAAGAAGACTTATAGACAGTAACGTTCAAATTATAAAGATTGTATTCATTTTTCTTTATTCAATTCGGAAGAAAACATTGAGTAGATTATATGTATATTCTTTGGGAAAATCTATTTCATATAATTATAATACAATATATGTAGATTCTACATAAAATGCTAAAAAGTGAGCTCTTTTCCATTCAGTCATGATTTATATAAATCAGACAACTGTTTCATATTTTGGATTGAGCTCTGTATTTTAAGTTGATTTTCCGATTTCATTTTCGGCATCCAATCAGGTGTGAACATCATTTTGACTGTATTTTTACTGTGTTGGCTACATGCTAATAGTTTAATAATAATGCACAGACAAAACAAATAATGAACAAACAAAATAATCCGATATACATCTATAATGTAATGCCAATGACACTGCTGATAGTAGTATGTACCGCCCTTCCAATTAGTGCGCAGTCTCGTAAAAAACGTAATTCATAATCTGAATATGGAAAAAACAAACGCACACATTTATATCCGATTTATTAATTTCTATGCATAAAATTTAATACGATTGGCGTTCGCAGTCCCGCACCTGGAATCCACTATGAACTGGATTACATTCCAGTCAAATAGGCCGTACATTGTAACAATGGTTTTTCACCAATTAACGTTATTACTTTCTAGCACATCATAATAATGTGTACGTCTTCTTTATTCGTGCACACAGCAACAGAACGATACAAAAATATGGTTATTTGTAAAATGGTAAATATTTTCCTCCCATTTTCACGTGTTGAATGCTCAACTTTCACACTTATCATCCTATTCGTTTACATCCTTCATGCTTGTTGTATAAGAATGGAGAATTATAATTTGTATATTAACAACAAATAACATAAACACAACAACAAGATGTAGTCAGTTTTTGAGTGGGGGATTTTTCCTGAATCAACAAAAACTTTTTGTGAATGCGCGTGATATTCTCTGAATTTTTAATACTTTGTACTCGTATTGGTATTTAATGTTAATGATATCTGTTTCATTGTTTGCCATTCTTTCCATTTTCATTCATTCTCTGATTTTTCATTTCAACCAAATGGAGAATTGAAAGTAAAGCAGTGGCAAAACACCATACCATACAGTTGCAGAGTTCTCCTTTCAATTTACACTGCATAAACGATACTGTCGGATGAAAGAAAAGGACGAACGTTTTATATTTGTATTTACATTGTGAAATGGAAATATAAAGTGCCACACCAGAATATGTATTATATTTACGATTTAAAAAAAAGACGGAATTGCAATTAATTGTGATATATGTGTAAAGTGTATCTATCGTTTGCTATAATAATTCTGGGAAAATTTATTTTCATCTCGTTCAAGGCCGCAAATCAGGATCTGATTGGATCTGTTGATTGTTGCTGCACACTTATTTGTAGTGTCATTACAATTTTTGAGTTCTGCGTGAACACAAGTGTTTTTGTAAGTATGTCCGGACCATTTCTATCTCCGTTGCCAGGTGATTTACTTTTGACCGAATACATGTTGGGACGACGACGTCAACGTCGTAATCGAACCACGTTTACACCCCAACAACTACAAGAGCTCGAAAATCTTTTTAAAAAAACTCATTACCCGGACGTTTTTCTAAGAGAAGAAGTCGCGCTCCGCATTTCATTGAGTGAAGCACGAGTTCAGGTAGGTTTAATAATAATATTTTCTATTTGTCTATGTTTCTATCGTGTTTCAATTTAAAACTTCAAAAAAAAAATGTGATTATACTTTCGATTTCAATTAAATCGAAGATGATATCAAATCGAATTCGCTTTAAACGTTCACGAAAAGTGCGTAGTTTAGTTTTTATAATACAATTAAACACAACTGTTAATTTTTTCATCATTACAAATTGTTTCGCATTAATACCGTGTAATTTCTTGCGATCAAATATACAGAAAATTCAATTGAAATTATACTCACTCGAGTGAAAATGCTCATAAATAAATTATTATAAAAAATGTGTATAAATGTAAATCATTGATCATTCAACCACAAAAGCAACAAATTACTTATTGCAGTAGTTTAAGTATAGTACACCGACTGTGGCAATCATGTTTCTCACACATTTTGCATTACTGAAAGAAAAAAATGCTGTAAAAATGGAATGGTTCTTATATATTTTTATTTTTTTTTAAATATCTGTGCAATTCAACGTTTAGGTGTGGTTCCAAAATCGTCGAGCTAAATGGCGCAAGCAGGCGAGGCTAAGCCTTCTGCAGGATGCATGGCGCCTAAGGTGTCAACTCAATATAACAAATACATCTTCAATGATAACAAATGAACATCAACGACAATCACCTAAACCAGATACACCATCACCGTCGTCTCCACTTCCATTAATTGCTCAGAATTTATCAAATTCGCCAATATCAAAGATCAATGACATAAAAACATTGAATGATGCATCTGAAGAATATAATCAAAGTCAAAACAAAAGTGAAAATTTTACTTTGATGCATCCAGCCTTCCAAAATGTGTTGCATAATAAACGGAAATACTACGGTGCAATTGACGCTGCGGCAATATATAATAAAAATTGTTCCGATCGTGATGCAGGTAATTGCAATGCATTATTGGCAAAAATGGACACCAATTCTCACGTGATTGATGGGCGAAAAATTGATCGCATGCGAAATATTAAAAATGATTTTTCCAATGATGAAATAAGTCAGGATTCATCTGATTCCGAGGAAATTGATTTAACTTCAAACAGTTGCATTGATTTTTCCAATAACAATAACAACGACATAGTTAATGGGAAAAGTGAAAAATGTGGTATCAACACTTTTTAAAATCATGAGTGTTTTCAATTGATATAAACTACAAAGAGTACGAAATTTTATATTATATACCCGATGTACTCTCGACTTAGACTCGAATAGAGTAAGAATTGATGATCTAAGGTTTATTGGTTTGATAATATTTAACGAAAAAACATTTAAGTAAAGTAAATCATCAATCAATTGAATATGAAAATAAAAAGATTCTAATAAGTATCAAAATATTTAATCAAATCATTATAGCATGTAAATCTTTCATTATATTAAAGGATTATATTTGGTCGCAAAACTTCAATAAAGATCTATGAAAAGAAACTGTGGTATTTTTGAAATAATTATATTTTGAAATTACATTTTGTTCTGAAATAAATGTGAATAATAACAATAATATAATGATAATAACTGAAAGTGATTTGTATTTCAATTGGTCATCACTTGACTATGTCATATTTCAGGCGATTATTCTGATATCAAAAAGCCGGTCTCACATACATTGAGATCAAAACGACTGTTAAATTGTTACTTAATTTATTTTACGTATGTTTTTCTCTTTCTGAAACATTCGAATTTAGGCAGTACTCTCACTCTCGTTTCGTCTTAACTGTATACTCGTTTCACACTATTCGCCTTTCTAGTGTGAATGAAATACAAATAACAACACATATTGCTTCGTCGCCTTCTATGAACTGAATATGTTTTGATAAATAAAAATCTACGCTTGTACATTTGTACTGTGTTTTATTTCATCAGTCTCTTCAGCGATTTGCCGTACTGAACACGTCGTTTGTTTTAAGCTTATTTTCAATATTTTATTTGTGGATACATATTGCTTTTGTTTTTTCGTCATAAGAATATATTATCAAGTGTTCATTATTGGCATTCGTAATATTTCGTTAAAGATAATTATATCAAACCGATTTACAAAATTTTTAAACAAACTTTTGGTCTTAATTCATGCTGTTAGCATGTTTGAAGAATACTTGTGCAAGCATATTTATAGTTTTGCTGAATGAACGATTTTTATTGAATACAACAAGACGTTTCTATTTAAAGAAAGTGAAATAAGCAAACACTAGAAACGATTTCAAAAACGGTAAGTTATTTACTATATGTAAAACTAATATAATTGATTCGAATTTATTGCCAATATGAAAAAAAAAATGTCCAAGTGTGTTGATTCGTATATTTTATCAATTCAAGGGAAATCCGCAATTACATACGATATGCATTTAATATTTTTATTTAATTCTATCTTAATTTTTCTGATTTGACATTATTTTTTTTATGTAGTTGACAAAAAACTTGTTTAATGTGTTGCTTTTTCGCTCAATAAATTTATGCAAATACAAACATTTGGACCAAAACCAATAAAACTAAAAGAAGAGCCAAAAATCAATCACATTTTGGAATTTATTATTATATAGTTGGTTTTTTATACAGTAGATATGAAGAAAAAAGTGTATGTGATTTATTTTACATTAAATGGTCTGAATTATGGGATTTATCCTTTGTCGACCACTCGACCAGTTAATTCTTGGCACCATACATATAAAACAAAGTAATAAACGTAATATAAAGTGAAATAAAAAAGAGTTGCAAAGATAGGTTCTGACGAGGGTCCGGATTACCCCCATCATGATGTTTAGGTCATAAATTGACTGATACTCGTTGAAAATAATAAGATTTTACACAGATTTTTTAAAAAATCGTTAAATTTAGAAGAATTAAAATTATTTTTTTAACTTGCGTATTCAAACTTCACATTTTGGACTTTCAATTCGCAATAAACTTGTTTTGGGTGATGGAAGGATTGTTTCCGAAATGCTAATTTCTTTTTCGTAATTCTTAATGGTATAAAAAATAAAGTGAGTGGTTAGCTGAAATCGACTGAAATTGAACAGATTTGTCTATAGTCAACTGCGATTGAAGTTGAATTAAGTTATATTTTTCGCTATTAGGATTGACTAAAAAATCAGCCAAATCAACTTAAAACAACTTCAATATCAGTCGACTTTAAGTAAAAACGTCCCAAATTAGTTAACTGACTAGTCAGTCAGTAATTTCCCCTAGAATTTTCCACAAGGGAAAATGTTGTTGAATACAAATAAAAAATAATTGAATTTCCTTTAATTTTGACACACTAAGATAATGAAAAAAGAATGAATGTTTTGAACAAAGAAAAAATCAGCCATGTAAATTCGCAAGAAGTTAAAATTCTTAATAACTTTATAAATTGAACAGTTTTGAACATTCTCTTGGGTGTCAATCATGTTTTGAAAGAGATAGTCCCCATGAAAACTAGGCCATCGATAATAAGTTAATTATTTCATTGTTATTTTGAATTAATCAATATTTGTTTTTTTTTTAAATCAGGTTACGATAATTCCTATTATCAATTCCTAAACATTGATAAAGACTGCAAATGAAAGTCGTAATTGTCACTTTTATAGAAGTCGTAAATAATAATTTAAAAAGCGTTCAATATCATCTACATGATATGCGTCTACCAATAATCGTTTTGGCATTAATATGTATAAATGCGTTGGGAAAGGTCGTAAATGCTGTAGATAATGAGTAAATATTAATAAAAAATACATAAAATCAAACTCACCTGATGAGATATTATTTTTTATTTTAGCTGTTCAAAGAAATGGATATGTAACCATGAAGACAAATGTGTACGAATATTTAAAGATCCGCAAAATTTACACACATACAGTTCGCAGAATGCATGCAGACTGTCTTGCGGTACATTTGGTTCATTATGGCCGCAACCGACTGGTCATGTTTTGCTTGGACAGACACTGTTTTCCTTGAATCCAAATCACTTGAAGTAACATTGTTAATTTTTTTTTACTTCAAAAATCTAAATGAACAACGAAATATGGAAAAAGTGTCATTATTTTTTAGATTTAACATTTCCGGAACATCAGTTGATACAACAAATTATTTACATGCCATTAGTAACATATTTATTTCAAAAGTGATCAAAGAATGTGGTAATGGATGCAATGAGGCAAGATCAGAAAAACATGTTTCTGTACGATTATTGGTACGCTCAAATGAAACTGAAATCACATGGAGTACTGATGAAAGTTATCGTCTCGATGTAATTACCTCTGGTACATTATTGCTTTTCGCTCATTGTTGTATTCAATATGCTATTTTAAGTATTTTAAATCTAATGTTGTATGTTAATCACAGGTGATCAAGTAACTGTTAGGATTAGTGGTAGCACCATATTTGGCGTTCGCCATGGATTAGAAACGCTATCACAATTGATGACGGCAGATATTTGTGAGGGCTTGTTACTTGTAAAATCGGTACGAATTGAAGATCGACCAATTTACCGACATCGTGGACTATTGTTAGACACATCACGAAATTTTATACCTGTAGCTGATATTAAGCGTACAATCGATGGAATGGCTGCATCAAAATTGAACGTTTTTCATTGGCACATTACTGATTCACATAGTTTTCCGCTTGAAATTCCTTCTATTCCGCAATTTACCATCTATGGAGCTTATGGACCAAATTTTACATATCCCCCGAATGTTGTAAGAGAAATTATTACGTATGCAAAATTTCGTGGCATTCGAATTATTATCGAAATTGATACACCTTCACACGCTGGTAATGGATGGCAATGGGGGGAAAGTCATGGTTTGGGCAAATTGGCTGTATGTGTGAATAAACAACCATGGAGAAATTATTGCATTCAACCTCCATGGTAAGTAAATTGAGACTTAACATTTTTTGCACCGAAAAGGCCAGGAATAAGCTTTTTGTCTTTTTTTTTGCCAGTGGCCAAATCCAGCCAACGAATGCCTTTGTCTTTGGTATATTCCGTGATATATATCGTCACTTACAAACACTAATAGAAACTGACGAGACAATTCATTTTGGCGGAGATGAAGTGAAGTCAATTTTCATACGTTCTTAATATTATTATTTTTTTATTGTTTAAATTTATTTTTTTGAAAGGTTCATTTTGGTTGTTGGAATTCATCCGAAGAAATTGTAAAATATATGCATGATCATGATTTAGGACGAGATACCAACGATTTTTTGCAATTGTGGGCTGAATTCCATGTGAGTTGCGTAATATATTTCAGTTATTTTCAGTAAGTTTTGAATTTTATTCAAAAAAATTTCATTTTTTTAGCAAGCATTGTTACGTGTTTGGGATGAAGAACGGGGACAAGATGAGAACAGTAGGCGAGGTATACCAGTGGCTCCGAAAAAAGTTATCATTTTTTCAAGTCATTTAACCGATCCAAATCATATAGAAAACTATTTACAAAAAGACAGGTAATGCATATGACTATAATATGGATATATTATTAATAATAAGAAATGGAATATCAAATTATTTTGTCAATTAGATACATAATTCAAACATGGTTAGAATCTTCAAACGAACAACCTCAAAAACTGTTAAATCTTGGCTATGAATTGATTATGTCCACTAAAAATGCATGGTACTTTGATCATGGGTTTTGGGGGAATACGGCCTATTATACCTGGTAATTAAATAAACAGTGTTGAATATACAAGGCCAGTAGTGTAATAGTCCCTTTTTTCTGCAGGAAAACAGCATATGATAACCGTTTACCAAAACACAATAATGTTCTTGGTGGAGAAGCATGCGTATGGACTGAATTAATCGATGAACATAATTTAGGTTTGTGCGAAACTTATTTATTTGTATGCTTCTAATTTTAAAACCACATTCAATAACAAATTATTCATGAATTATTTTCAGATTCTCGAGTTTGGCCACGTCTATCTGCTGTAGCTGAGCGCTTGTGGTCAAATCCTGACACACCAGCAACAAAGTCAACCGAAAGAATATTTCAACATAACACCAGACTCGAATTATTAGGAATTTCACCAGAACCCATTGCACCACAATATTGTATCTTAAATGAAGGCCAATGCACATGAGGATATTTGTCGTACCCGAAATATAGAAAAACCTAGGCTAGCTAGCATCAATTTCAAATTCAAACATTTCTATGCCAATTGATAAGATATCCCGAAGCAAATATAGTGGTTTCCATCGAAAAATAATGATAAGTTGAATGAAAAAAAATTAATCGATGCGTCGACAATTATTAATAGAAATTTTTTGCACAATTAAAAAATACGTTTCCATAAAATATCGATTCTGTATTATTTTTCATTTTAAATTCAATTGTGAAACCGCCAAAATCGAATTGAATAATGACAACCAGTCTTAATGTATATTCCCCTTATTTTAGATCAAAACTGAATGTAACACTAGCATATATCCATATGTTTTAAAATTTCCCCTCAAATACATTTGTATTGTATACTATACACATACACATGTTTTTGTTCCTTATGCCACTTTATTTTTCATATCTGTCAGAATTTCTGTTGTTTACAGCGTCATTATCGGCATTTTATCTTTGAGAGTAAAATTTTTGTTTGTTTATGAAATGGAATTGAAAAATTACGATTTGATTAAGCAAATCGGAGAAGGAACATATGGCAAGGTGTTCCAGGCCAGAGAAAAAGCAACCAATAGATGTATAGCAGTGAAGCTGATTAAAAAAGTTTGTTTTAATTGTTTTTGGGTTCTGATATTTTATTTGAATACGATATAAATTACATTTGAAATATTTTTCAGAGTACAAATCCTTCGGAGAGAGAAAGAAAAGAGCAAAAGAAATTTCTAAAAGAATGTAACATTCATAGTTCCTTAAGTCATCCGAATATTATTCAAATGTTAAGTTCCTTTGAAAATGTTGAGTACATTGTTGTCGTCACGGAATTGGCCGGTATTGACTTACATCGATTTTTAGCACAAAAACACAACAAGTTGTCGGATAAACATGTTCAAAAGCTTACTTGGAACTTACTTTCTGCATTATATTACTTGCATTCTCATGGAGTCATTCATCGCGACTTGAAGCCACAAAATGTTTTATTAAACAATCATCAAAACATTGATGAAATGAGTGCAAAGTTGTGCGACTTTGGGTTGGCTCGGCAAATGCCAAAAGAAACATATCTTTTAACCAGCGTGAAAGGTACACCATTGTATATGGCGCCCGAGGTAATGGATGTGGCTTTGTATGATGAAAGAGCCGATTTATGGTCATTTGGCTGCATTATTTATGAGGCACATTTCGGAAAACCACCAATAAGAACACAGTCATTTACCCAATTAATGAAATGGCACCGTAATCCAGAAATCGAATGGCCATCCACAATCTCAGATGAATCGAAGTCATTCGTTGAGGGTCTTTTAAAAAAAGAGCCTGAAAAACGTTTTTCGTGGGCTCAAATTATCGAACATCCATATGTAAAAGGAAACTTAGTGATTTTGGATAACAACAAAGCAGAACGTCGATTGACCGTAGATTTGACGGTATCACAACAAATTCGTAAAGAGAAACAAAGAGATGAGATTATATTAAATCGTGGTAAAAAAGCTATTGCTGAGGCAATGAAAAAGTGTAAACCATCGAATAATTCAAAAATACCAGATACTGGACCAAACGGGGAAAATAATAAGCATAAAAATGTGATTGGTGACAATGAATCCATATCCTCTAATGATAGTGTGAATGCCATTATTCAAACCGATCTGGAAACTGATGTTGAAGGGCCTTTAGTCAAAAGGCCAATCAAAGTGCAAACAGAATCTGATCACATCGATCGAGGAGATAACCAGAATTTGATCATAAAACGATATACAGACAATTTTAGTGCGATTAATAATAATGTCGACGAACAAGACAATACAAATCTTAAAATTGGCACAATGCTTGAAAATATTGAAAAAATGCAGCTTGAAGATGAAAACAAATTATGTGCTGCTAAAGTATCAAAAGAAACCGAAGACGAAACAAAAGATGTCAATACACTGGAAATGGCATCAACTAGCAATCAAGCAAAAGCGAATACCAAGCTTGGAAGGCGAAAGCTAGGTCAAAATTTGGACAATTTTTCCATTCGATTGGGTAAACGTGATGATAAGGAGAAACCACCATGTGCCAGTGAAGAACGAAAAGAGCAAGAGAATGTGGACACGAAGCAGAATGAAGATGATAGTCCGCTAATAGAGAATGAGGAATGGCTAGCCTTTATTCGGAAGAGAATGCAGGAGCTCTTGAATGGCGAAACCAATTCCCTTAAAGACCAAAATCTGGTGAGATCCGAAATTTCTAATATCTAGTTTCATTAACTGATCAAATTTCATCACGTCTTTTTATCTAGGTCGGTATAATTGTGCCAATTCTTAGGAATTTTAATTCAAGCAGTACGGTCATTGGTAGTGTTGTTCAGTTACTAAGTATTCCATTTGTATTGCCCATATCTGATGATGATGCGATACAAATAAGAGCAGTTTACCTTCAAACAAAGTTGTTGCCAAATTTAATATTTGCATCAAAAATTATATGTATGGTGAAAATCAGTAATCCAAGTTTTTCTTCCACTATTTCATCGTCTGATTTCGGTGTTTTGGGAACAACACAAGAGCAAATTGTTTTCAAGTGAGTGTAAAATACATGGACCAGCGTAACTGACAAATACTTGATACGAATTAACAATCATTTTTTTTTTTCAGACGAATTAGTGACTTATCAGTTGATCAACTGAAAACGTTATCAAGCATTTACGAACTAGCTTGCTATCTGATACACTCGAATGGAAATTTCTTGGAACAATTTTGTGATTCTATGTATATGATTGCCAACGATTTATTGAGGCACCTACTAAAAAGCGGTATAATTTATTTAAATAGTCCCCATAATACCTTTTTAAAAAATAATGTTCTTTTTGTCAATTTTCAGTTGTGTATGATGTTCAAGGAATGCAATTAGTTTGTGCTATTGTTTCAATATTATGCTTCGTGTTAAGAGAGTCACCAGAAAATGCAGAACTCGTAGAAAGTGTAATATTTTACGAAGGCGTAGACATAGTTTCTTTGTTGCAGAATGGAAATAGCCCGTTAAGGTAAAGTTTGCAATTCAAACTATTGAAAGATAGTGTTAATATATTTTTTTAAATGATAATAGATTGAGGCTATGCAATTTCTTGAGAATTATTTCTCGATTCAGCTGGTCCGCATTACAAAAATCCTGGACAAAGGATTTCAAACAAACATTAGAGAGTCTACTGGATGAGAGCAATGTACAAATTAAAGAGGTATGAAAATATTGTAAATAAATTGAAATAAATATTTATTTTTTCTTAATTAATTTCAGGCGGCCAGACTTACAATTGACGAACTCAGCCATTTGTCATTTTATAATGTTTAAATTGAATAATCACTTTTGTTACACAATAAATATTTAAAAGATTTTTATAAAATAAATAATGAAATACAAATTAATACAATTATATGTATCTGCTCCATAAATTAAGCCCAAAAAAACTTTCAAACCATTTGATAAGTGTATCGAAATAGTTTTCTTGTACAGGATTTGGAATCACTTCTTGTTGCTGCTGTTGTTGTTGCATATGTACATCTAAAACACTAAGCGTATCTGTGTTACAATCTGCTTTATACATTGAATTGATTTTTTGGATATCTTTTTCACTCAATCCATCTCTTTGACCTAAGCGCATAGATTCGTACTACAAAATAACAGATTACATTGATCAGAATATGCAAATTAATAAATTTCTGAAAATTATCACACTAACTATGGGTTCAATGGTAATGTTTCCATTTTTTGAAAATGCTTTTGGACTATAATGCATAACACTATCGTAATCGTATGAAACGTCAAAATTTGAGACAACAGATTCATTGTATTTGTTAAAATTATGCTCTCGTCCTCTTTTTATATTATCCCAATGGATTATAATATATTCATCCCTGTTAGATGTACTCTGTTGATGGTAAAATCCAATGGCATGCATCAGTTCATGTACTATTACACCATGCTGTCGGCATTTTTCCGAACCGAGATTAACAATTTGTCCATTGGATTTCTTTAAAAAAAAAACAGAGAGAGAGAGATATATATATAATCATTTAATGATTTCGATAAAATTGTTTGAAAAAAGAGTTTTACCTTCCCAACTGACGACCAACAGCCGGACCAATCTTGCTGGAATTTTTTTTATCATAATTTCATCGATATATTAATACGTAGGTTGCTCCATAATTTTTTTTAAAATGGTACTTATAGTGTTGCCCGATGTAAACCATTGTCATATTCGTAAAGTTTGATGTTTTGGTATGTATTCGTGCCCTGAACCTTTTGTCGTACGAACGCTATTTGTATTGTTTACAGTGACTGGTAAACTGCGACTCAACAAAAAAATGAATTTTACACGTGAAGATTTTCGTAAAATGATTTACTACGATTTTCGAAGTAAATTATCTCAACAACAGTGTTTCGATCGACTTCATTTGGCCTTTGGCAATGAAGCACCAACCCTTCAGACAATTTATAACTGGTACCGAGAATTCCGTTGCGGTCGTAGTTCGCTCAAAGACGAGTTTCATACAGGTCGTCCAAAATCGGCTGTTGTGCCACAAAACATCGATGCTGTCAGAAAACTGATTATGGAAGATCGTCATGTGACCTACCGTGAGATTGAGGCATCTTTGGGCATTTCATCCCACAGCATACATACAATTTTGCATGAACATTTAGCCGTAAAAAAGATTTGCTCTCGTTGGATCCCACATAAATTGACCGATGAACAAAAAATGGCTCGTGTGAGTTGGTGTAAAGAAATGCTCAAGAAATTCAATCGTGGTGCTTCAAAAGACGTTAATAAAATCGTCACTGGTGACGAATCGTGGATATATGCCTATGAGCCCGAAACGAAACAGCAGTCGACTGTATGGGTCTTCCAAAATGAAGATAACCCAACGAAAGTTGTTCGAGCAAGAAGCACTTCGAAGCGAATGGTCGCCTGTTTTTTCGGGAGAAGTGGTCATGTGGCAACCGTTCCACTAGAGGATCGTAAGACCGTCAATTCTGATTGGTATACCACCATTTGTTTGCCCGAAGTGTTTGGTGAAATAAGAAAAAACAACCACCGTCGCAAAATAATTCTTCATCACGATAATGCGAGCTCTCACACATCTTTTCAAACTACTCGATTTTTGACCGGTCAAAACATCGAACTGATGGGTCATCCACCGTACAGTCCTGACCTGGCACCCAATGACTTTTTTTTGTTCCCAAGCGTGAAGAAAAAACTACGTGGTCAACGATTTTCGACACCAGAAGAAGCAGTTGAAGCGTTCAAAACACACGTTTTGGAGATATCAGTTTCGGAGTGGCACGAATGCTATGACAAATGGTTTCATCGAATGCAAAAGTGTATCGATCATCTCGGGGAATATTTTGAAAAACAATAAAACCATTTTCGACAAAAAACAACTGTGTTATATATGTTTTTAAAAAAAATTATGGAGCAACCCTCGTATTGTGTTATTATATTATAATTATTATCTGACCTTTATATCAATCCAACTGTTATCAGTTTTTTCATAAGGCCGAAAACGTACACATGTTTTATTATGGTATTCCTGCATCGCATTTAAAATTGAAATAACCTCTTCGTCGGCTAAAATACAAATTACCAAAAAAGATTGTATTTATTTGATTTCATTTGTTTTCATTTCAGTTTTTGTAAGCACTTACTGAATGCGTCATCGATATAATATGGAATTGTTGCTTTTTCCCATCTTGATGTTTCATCAATTAAACCATTTTTATTGAATTTCTTCGTATAAAGCATTATATCACCTTCAAATAGCCCAGAATGTTCCCACACATTTGTACCATCGTCTGGAGTCCATACATCAATTTCTGCGTCTACTAATTATGCCAATTTTATACGAATACATTTTCAAATTGATTATTAACTTATTAAGCACGAGCATTTTATTATATGGTCCGTATAAAATTAAAGTCTATTCTATAATTTATGTCGATTAAATACCAATTTCATCTTGTTGTTGCACAAACAATGAATCCATATTAAATCCATATTTTGGTAGTGGCGGCGTAGTAAGAAATCTTTTGATAGAATAAGCACACGTTAGATTCCACAAATAAAGAGACAAAATATACACGAAATATTGTTTCATTTTGAGAAATTCACTTTGTTGCAATATTATGTGAAATTTTATAAACTACAACTTGTATAACATACAACGTATTGAGCAAAAACGAAAATATTGAGAAAGTAAAACCGAACTTTAACTGGCAACAAAATATCACTTTCGTGAATGACTACAGTTTACTCAGGTGGTCTTGGAACTGAGCATTTAAATTTTATTCATTTGATTTTATGCCACTGATTTGAAAACAATGAATTGTGTCATTAGTATTCCGGAATCGTTTACTTTTCAAATACTTTTATCAATTTTTTTTTAATAGCACCATCATTACGACGCTGAATAAATGCCTATTTTATAACACACTTCATTGTTTTCATTCATTTTTCAGCTAATCTTGTTGTAAATTTAAATTTTGCGCAACACTTCCTTAAACGGTTGATTAAAGAATAATATGTGTATTTTAATAGTATATGACATGTACTAATTGCTAAATTTCAAGATAGCAGGAATTGTTCAAATGATAGAAGAGTAATGAACCCATGACCCACATGTATGATGATAAACATTTCTTTTTGAAAACTCCCACCATTCGTATGATATATTTCAAATATTACCGATGTTATCTCGAGTAAAATATAAAGATTCTTCGTTTGGTGTTAATGCACTTGGCCTTGAATATTCTAAAATGATGTGATAATAAACATTAGACAATACTTTTTTCAATTTCATTGACCTTCATTGCTTTGTTGGTACCCGTATTTTGAATGAATATGTTTCCTCTTGCGTCATATGCTCAAAATTATACCTTACATTTTGTTGCCAAGGAAACCGATCGATTGTTTATCAAAATTGTTTTGTAGAAAAATATGCAAAAGATGTCAATTTTTATTAAAAATGTGATTTGGTCTCAAACGCAAAGCAAAGTATTCCTGAATATTTCAATTGGCGGTAAAAAATCTACCGATGATATCGTAATTGCAAAAAAGTTTTTGAAAATAAACATCCATCCACACTTTTATGAGATTTTTTTCGAGCATCCGATTTGTGTTGAACAAAGCTGTTGTAAACTTTTGGAGTCAAGCATTAAATTTGATTTGAAAAAAGAAAAGGACGAGTGGTGGTCAAATCTTGGCAAGACCAAAAAATTATCTGATAATCTTGGCGATGGGGCAATCATATCCAATGACACAGTTAAAGAAATATTCGATGAATACGAGAAGAATATCCAAGAAGAACAAACACTTGAGCGAAAGGAACAAACAACTTGGAAAAGAAATGAAATCGATAAGGAAATTGAACGCCAAAACCAAATTCGCAATAAAATTGAAAAAATCAAATCTACGCTAGAATGCCATCAAATCACATCGGTAAGATTTTTTTTAAAATTTATTGCTTCTTTCTCATACTCAAAATTTAAAAAAAATCTTCAACTTTATATCGACTTACAGAGCAGAATTGTCGATGAAGCTGTTGAACAAGTATCAACAACTTCTGCGACATCACATCCAGATAAAATGAAAATAATTCTACCTGTACGGCCATGTGGTAGAATTGATGTGAATTTTAGTTCACGTGAATTTATTACACCAAAGCGGGAATCACAAGAGAATGCAGAACGAGAATGGTGTGCAAAACAACACGAAATAATGATCAATCGTATTGGATTTTCTGACAAAGACCTCAGTTCAGACGAACGCGATCCAATTTTTTTAATGAAAAAAGGATATGAGTTTCTGGAAAAGAAAAACTATTTGGCTGCTGTCAGTACATTCAGTTTTTGCCTAACTAAAATGTCAAACGATTTACCTGAACTTTATTTAGGAAGAGCCAGAGCACAATATGCTCTTCAAAATTATAAACGTTGTGTAAGTATGTTTTTTTTTTTTTTTTTCAAGAACACTTGACTTATTAGAGATTTTTTATGCATAAGGCTGAAGACTGTTCTGATGCACTTGAAAGGTTCAAGCCTGAAGTTCAATCGAATTTGATGGAACGAATACATTGCTTTTGGCTACGAGGACATTGCTTAATATCCTTGGGACTTATTGAACATGGTGAAAGGGAAATACAAATGGCAGTACATTTAGATCCGCATAATTTTGAACGGAATAAAAGATATTTCATAGATTCAAATTAAGTTGGTATATCGGTTTTATTTGATTTATACCATTCACAGAGATCACTGTTATTGATATTCTGGGTTTCAGTTACGCTTTACAGTTATGTTTTGGAAAATTCCAAGTCATATATAATCTATTTTACAACTTAATTATTACATAATGTTATTCCAAAATTAAAAAAAAATCGAAATAATAAGTTATTTAATAATAAATGTGTGAACATGCAAAGTACAATCTCAGCTTAAAAAAAAAAACATTTCTAAACTTTAGAAAAACAAAGTAGTTCCATGATGTAATTTTCTCTCGACTATTTGAAGCGATGTGCTTTTTGCTAAATGCAAAGTGCGTTTTGATAAACAATCCTTACACAAAATTAGTATTAATTTAATCACATATCAAAATTTTTCAAATATAAGCAATTTATAACCATTGGTCGTGGAAGATAGAAATTAGATTGAGTTGAGAATAAAAAATAAGTTGCCGATCTGTTCATATTTTTTTTTGCATTATCATTGAGATCATTTGGAGCATCCGTTCTAGAAAATTAAAATGTATTTGTGATGATTTCCGGCGATGTTCATTCATCATTATGGTATTAGTTTACGAAAGTGAAATGAATCGCAAAGTTCAATTTTTTCACAAAGCAACATATCTAACTAAATCACATTTTGTGTTAAGCAACGTATATAGTTTTTGCAAAGAATACAAATCATAACAATTTATTTTACGCTTCAAATATTAATAAGTATCATATTCTAATTTTTAATCGTAGTCATTAGTCATAGTCATATAAATTGAAATGAACGACCTGTGTTTCTCTAGAGGGCTTGTGAACCGAACTTGTTTGTTATTTTTGACGAAACATTCATAATTGCCTTTTCATGTGTTTTATTTGATGCGTCTTGATCGTTATCATAAAAGCCACTCAACGAGTCTAAACTAAGTAAACGAGAACTAGCTCGACTCGAAATTGACGTATCATCTACGTCGTCGTGTGCATTGCACGAATTAACGTCTGATAATGCTGCTTCAGCGTCTGTTAAGCAACCCGCATTCAATAACGAAAGATTCTCTAGACCGGCCTCATCAGTTATATAGCCAGTACTTTCAGCGCCACCTTTAAAAGAAAATTAATTAAATCATTCGCAATCACGTCAAAGTTATTGAAGAAAAGTGTTTACCTTTTGCTTCGTCATCATCTCTTTCGTCTTCGTCACTCCATTCAGACTGTGTTTCGATGGGGTTTGAGTCGACCGATTGATGTGCACCATATTTCAAAATATCGTTAATTGTTTTGGAATTCACTATATCAGACTTATCCATTCCTTCGTTATCACCATCATCGTTTTCTTCTACGCTAAAATTTCGTAACTCAAACATTCGGTGACTGCCATTAATTGAGTATGTTCGTTTTCGATCATTTATTATATCCATCTCTTCCTTTGTAATTTCACTTAGTTCCATATCAGAAATATGCCTATTTAAATTCAATTGAGAAAATCAATTATTAAAAATTGGTCCTTAAAGAGAAAAAAATTACATTTGATTCGAGTCCGTATTAGCTGTGTTTCTTGCAATCTCTTTGATAGCCTCAAGTCCTACTGGATGTTTTCCATTTACGGTAGATATTGTTAGGCTTGTTCCACCCAATATTGATTGAACCGTATCGTGTTCAATATTTGATTGTGATGAACAACCACCATTCGTATCGTGTGCATCGATTGTAGGCATCACGGATTTATTTGCTCCAGTAACTGTAACTTTTGATGCCGACGAATCGAGAAGACGTTGAATTTCCCGTTGGAAGGGTGACCGTATTAAATTGTTGTCTTGATATTCGAAGCTTGTACTAGACTCAACTTCCTTGTTGGTTGCTGCTAATGTTGATGGACTTTCAGTTGTTGAGCTCAAATCAAGTTCTTTCAAATATGCCAAATCGATGGAATTAAGCTTGGAACCTAAAACATCGTTTTTATATTATAATCACTGTTTATTTATGAAAAAAATAAACAAGTATGAGTTGTTTTACCCATATTTGTTGGAAGTTTAGCTGGATATTGTGGATAATTTGACTCTGAATTTTGGAGCGCGGATCTTAAAAGCCAATCGTTTTGAGTATTTACTCTGTTTTCCGTTAAATCAAAATCGCCACGATCTCCGATTCTGGCCGTTGGTTTCAAAATGTCTTCATTTGATGAGCTCAGACTTGGAGAGTATGGCCTGCTTATGTCTTCAGTCGATGATTCTGGCCCTTCGTCTAGGTTTCCATTAATTCACCATGAAATATAATTTTTTTATTATTATTGCGTATGCATTGAATTGAAATGAATTAGCAAAAAATAGTCATTTTACCTATATGCGTTGGTAGCTTGGGTAATGGTTTTGTGTATTGTTGCATTGATGGTATGGGAGGCGGTACTTTTCGGTACGGCGAATTTCCATGTTGGTTAAATCTATTGTTGTGACAATGATTTATCTTTTGATTCTCAATAGATTTCTGCGAATTTTGCATTGATGCCATCGCTCCAGGATTAGCATAGTGTGGGGGTTCATACTTTTGTCTGGGGTCACGTATGTGTCCTCCATACAGTAATGGTTCTATTTCCTTTAAGTTGTAGGCCATATTTCCATTAACGACATTGCATCCGTTCAGATGATTAAATTGATTTTTTGTGTAGTGAACATTTTGCCCGAAACCACCTTCATCGTCAGACGACTGCATAATGTTTTCAGCTTTAAATTCAATATTTGTGTACCGTTCGTTTGGAGTATATTCTGTGTCTTCTCGAAAATTAGTCACGTCTTTGTTATGGCAAATGTTCTTATATTTCTGATAAGTGTTTTCATATTGTAAATAATTCGGACTGGCCATGTAGTTATAGCTCTTCTTTTGATTTTCAGCATTCATTATAACATTTGGTCGATATCCGCTTGAATGTGGTTTACAATGTTGTGACAATCTAATGTTTGATGACGTGTGTTTGGATGTAGATGGGCAGGCATTCGAAGATTTCATAGCTTGTGTATGTGAAATCACAGAAGATTCTAAGCAAATGTAAAATAATTTTCAGAAGTTATTTTTGAATGATTTTTGAAACTTGGAAAATAAGCAAATTACCTTGATATTCTCTGCATGCATTGTATTGATTTGAACTCGATTGATCGAGCAATAGAAATGTGATCATGTCACCCTTGCCTTTAACTTTTATTTGTCCTCTACATCTGCAGAAAAGAACATTAAACTTTATTATACATGATATAGCATTCGATCTTGAAATGTTATAGTACAAAATCATTTACAATAGATTTTTTTCGTTACATGTCGCTTTGAAAATATTGAGAGAAAAACATGTGATGTTTAACGTAATATTGAATGATAGTTTTACAAACCTAAATTCGAAATGTGATCCCTGCAAACTATCTACAACTTCTTGCGTACATTGTATTTCTCCAGGTATACATGTGGTATCCATTCTGCTAGCAACCTAGATTTGTATTGAATTCAATGAATGTTGGTTGGTGTGAAAAAGTTGGACAAAAAAATCCGATACAAAAGTAGCATCGATAATCGTTCTGGGTCAACCCAAAAAAAGATTAAAAATGGGGGTGTGCACGACAGTACTCACATTCACTGTATTTCCAAAAATATCGAATTGCGGCTTTGATGCACCTATAACTCCTGCCACAACTGGACCAATATTAATGCCTATAACGATAACGATAAAAACAAATTATTTTCATACTTGTGCTGTTGACTGCGAACATCTACGAACACTCGTTCCTTCGTTCGTAGGCAATAAAAATAAAAAAATTGTTCATTCGTAGAAATTTAAAAATTAAATTGTGTTCGTTCCTTCGTAGAAATCGAAAGAAAAAATTTGTTCGTTCGTTCGTTCGCGTTTTGAAATAAAAAAACGCTACGAACAAACGAACGAACGAACAAAATTTTTATTTTTCAAAATCTACGAACGAACGAACAATTTTTTTTCAATTCCTACGCACGAACGAACACAATTTAATTTTTAAAATTCTACGAACGAACGAACGAACAAAATTGTTATTTCTATTTCCTACGAACGAATGAACGTTCGTAGCCAACAGTGTGCTGATTAAACGAAGTTTTAACTCTCTCACCGATTCGCGTTACAAAATTATTATAAGAGTTTTCGTTGATATTCTCAATAGAAGCGCGCATTGCTCGGGCAAATTCTAATAATGTTGTCATGTGTCTTCGAATTAAATGAACATCATTATTGCTCATTTTGTAATCTGGTATAAGGCCGATTGCGGCCATATAGGTACTACCAACGGTTTTAATTTTATCAATAGCCATAAAGCGCTCCTGTGCAAGAAGATTATCAAAATCGGCTATGATTTCATTTAACAGTCGTAGACATTCAACACCCAATTGATTTCCATCTAGTTCCGTGTAAAATTCGTGGAAATTTGGTATACTGCAAAACATCACGCCGACTTTTGAATAGCTCTGATAATACAAATCTTGTCCAATTGTATTACTCGCACCAGATGCACCGGTAACAACATTATTCGTGCCCCGAAATTGATTATCGAGAAAATGTTTGGCTACATGCGCCGGAAGTAAATTGAATAGAATACGACGATTTGATTCTTGCAATACAGCCATTTCTCGTTTTTCATGGGATGCTTGTAACTGCCATAGAAAATCTAAACGTGCCGTCCACTCCACTTGCCGACCGTGTGTCAATACTGCTATCATGAACAAAACAATACGTAAAAGTGTTATTGTGTGTTGTGGAATCGACGAATTCACACGCTCGTCATAGCACGTAAAAATTTCAATGTGTGATAGCTGTATGTATAGACTATACACAACACCCATCAGAAACACCAAAGCGGTTTTAATTAAAAATGGTAGCCTGTAATAAATGTGAACACATATATAAACATATTCGGAGAAAAAAAAAGAAATATTTTTGAAATTACCTTAAGAAAACAGATGCGGAAAGAAATGCAAAAGCGGCTGCCAATTGTGTGTATTGTGGAAGGTGGCATCGACGGTGACTGTAAGTGTAGCCCGTTAGTGGAAAGGTACCTCCATTATTGAGTGTAACCGCCAATGTGTCATTTTTACAGGGCAAATTCGTAAGACACGTAAACTTAAGAAAAAAAAAAAGATAAATTTTAAAATATATTCCCAAATTTATTTATGTTTTCAACTTACCACATTCACTTGACCAACAGAATACAGAAGGATGATGGTGAACACAATAATTGCTGAACGTAATGTAAAACTATGTGATAGATCCCATAAAATCCATTTTAATCGTGCTGCAAGCATCAACATCAGTATAGATGCAATCCAAATAAAAGCAGTCAAAAATAGCAACAATAAAATGAATGTTCTTGGAAAAACGGCCACTTGTAATGCTGTACTTAGCATTAACAATAACAAACTACAAACTAATTCTCCAGAAAATCCCAAATCAATATCTTTGTGATAATTTCGTTCCACATCTCGATCACGAAATTGCAATGTAAAACGATTAACATGAACCGCTTTGTCATGATCAACGCTACGCGCTTCAATTGCTTGTGATAAAAATTTGTTCACACGATTTGTGGGCTGATGATGTAAACTGGAATGACGCTTTTTGAATGGCCGTTTAAATCTATCCGCTGCACACTATAGCAATAAATAAAAGCAAAAAAATTGATAAAAATTTACTTTTAAATGTTTACTGTTTTAGCGTACTTTTCTGTTTGATTCATTTAGTCCGACAACTGATGAATTTTGACTGGGGCTCATGTAATTTGAATTCGGTGCGGTTAAATGAGAAAACGGAACAGGAACGGAGTATTTAATAGTATGTAATAGTTGTACTACTACATTTGAGACATTTCTAAACGACAGTTTACGACGATTTGCGGAACCAATTGCTGATCTTACTCCCAACGTATTCATAAGTAATGGCTAGAATTTATTAATAATTATGTCAACAAATAATGAAATTGATTTACCTTAGAAATTTATTTCTTTTTTTACCTTTCGTCGATGGTTCGGTGGTATTATGAAAAATGTATCAATCGCATGCTCACGTAAGTATGAATCTCTTGTTGATCCAAAACCAGCTTCGACTTCATATTCGCCTCCAAGACAATCAAGAGTAGCCCTTGTCACATGCACGCGTCCGGGCTCTCCACCAGATTCGGTGTGATTAGCTTTTTTCAAAAGTTTAATGGATTAGTTGCACTAAAATTATGTATTTGGAATATTTAGACAATAGACATACATACCGATTGTTACGTCGTTAGACCACACCTATAGTAAAACAATAAATAGCTATGAAAACAGTAATAAATCATTTATAATATTATGTTATTCACCTCAAATTGCCATTTTCGAAGACCAAGTACACCGCATAATACTCGACCCGAATGAATCCCAACACGCATCGATAGCTTCACATCAGTGGAATCAACAAATTCTCTAAGAAACGTATTTGAACAGTTTTGTTTTTTTATGTATTGTAATAGATTTTTTTTTGGTACAAAAAATAAATACTCACGCAATGGCATCAATGATATCTAAACCAAGTTCGACACAATTTTTAGCATGATCAATTCTTCCTTCTGGTAATCCCGATACAACAAAATAACAATCGCCAAGTATTTTAATTCTTAAGCAGTGGTGATCCTGAAAGAGTTATATGTTCTTATTGAAATAGCATATTTATATAATTTCCTATTTATAATAGACTACTTACGTTTGAGAGTTGATCAAAGCGACCAAATAGTTCATTTAGCAAACGCACCAGCTCTTGTGCGCTGCATTGTGATGCAAGTACGGTAAATCCCACTATATCGGCAAATAAGATACTTACATTATCGTGTTTTTGAATATAGATTTTGTGAAATTGTGTTTTAACTGGTGATAAAATATCATTTTTCATTTCGATTGCTATGTGTCTCGGAAGTACGCTCAATAACAGTCGCTCCAATTTTTCATTTTCATCCTCCATTTCAAGACGAGCAGCCACAAAATTTCGCGTATCGAGAAATGCACGTCTCTGTGCACGTTCCATCATTACATTCACCATTAAACCGCATATGTTAACACCTAGAAATGTTATCGAATTTGCCACCAATGGACTGTAATCGTAGTAGTGCTGTGTTTCGGTTAACATTTGAAATATTGATAAGCCGATGTGAATGATGGCCAAAGAAACACCAAACACTATGGCCTCCCAGATTTGTAATGGCATTAGAACATATGTAACAAATACTACAAAAGTCACTTGCCATACACCTTCCGTTAGATCCTGTGGTGAAATAAATTGCATTATCAATTATCAATATTGCCACTTCAAATTAATTATCTACCTCTTTTGTATCGATTGGTATAATTTTATTTAATGCCGGCATTGACATTATACATAGGATTGTAGCCACCAATAAAATGCCATAGGATAATGATAAGAGATACGAATCTTGAATAACACGAAACTGTAGCAATGCCAATATTATGAGAAACAGAAAGCACATCAACGAAATGAAAATATTCTAGAATAAAAATAGATTTGATTAGAAAATTATTATTAGTCTGTAAAGGGTAAATATATAATATATCTTGAATATCTCAGTTCTCAGCTCGAAAAGACAACTATTTTAACTTTAAATAACTATTAGTACCTAATCATGAAACAAATTTGTCAAATTCATATTATTTGCGACTAATTGAAATATTTCGACCGAAATATTTGGATTTATTAGTTATCACCTTCTAAAGCAACAAAGAACTCTTTGGCTCTGAGATATTCAATAAGTTAAAATAATATAAATCACTTAAACATACATGTAATGTTAATAGGCTACTGAACACATAGCTCAATGTCATCATTGTCATGCAAAAAATAACGAATAACGACACAACGCCAATAACAGAAAATCGCTGCATTTTCAATGTATAGCGTTGATAAAGAGTTTCGAGCTCTTCGTTTTCGAATCTCAGTTTGTCCCATGGTTTTATTTTAGATGTTTTCACTGCGTGATCCATTTTTAACGCACGTGTATGTGGCACTAATTTTTTTTAATCACGCACCCACTACTTCTTTTGTTAATTTCTCGTTCACATGAATCACCTTACAGACTCTTATCCTTTTGTCACTATTCACCCTTATGTAGTTGCTGAAATTGGAGGAATGAAAAAATCTTACTTCAAAATATATCATTTTTAAATTAAATGAGCACTTTTCAAAATTTTATGTGCAATATTAACGTGGCTTCAACTATAGAAAAAATTTCAATTTGTTTTACTATAACTACAAAATATAGGCAATGTTTATTCAAGCGGGCGGATCACGTACAGTATAATGTATTTATTTTCTTATAGCCAGTAGCTTCATTATGAATCACATAACATCACATCACATTGTGAATTTTTACGTGTAATGCAACCGATTCACTAATCCATACATTTAATTGTCTTTGATATATTCGCCTCGGTTTATTGCTACTAATATAAAAAGATTATAACGCTTTTGTATCGATAGAATAATTTCATTCATTAAATAATGCACCATGCAAATAGTATGGTTTCATTTGTCGAACATTGTCTGTTTTATAAAACAATTTGCGACGAGTAATGTATTAAGCACGTGAACGATAAACGTCTATTTTAAACCAAACCGATAAATAAATTGAATATATGCGCTTCAATTACAGATTCAAAACTTATGAGTTTGTTTAGCAACTGAACGATATCGTTTGATCAATTGACGTCAATACGATGGCTATTGCGTTGACTTCGACACGTCGTCAATCCTTTTTTTTTTTCAAATTAGTAAAAAAAATTCACTTTAAACGTTCAGATGCAAAGAAAATTAATGTACCTACATAATTTGAAATCCTTAGAGGTACTATTTGCAGAATGTCTACATGCATATAAAAAAAATGAACAATTTTTCGACAATTCATCACCGCGATAATTAACTATGACAAATCATATCTATTTTCAATTTTGTGCATAAAATTTAAATCAGATTTTTTTCTGTAATTTTGAAAAAATGCACAAATTCTTACAGGAAGCTGATTTAAATGCAAAGTAAAAAACTCTGTCAAGATCAAACAACATGTGGATATTGTCCGCCTTTTAGCTATTTGTGGCTCTTGAACATTAGTAAAGCTTTCAACTACCTATGCTAGAATAATATTTTGAACATTGTACAGAATAAATACATCTTGTCCGTACGTGAGCTAAATATCGAATTTCATTTTAGTGAAGTATGCATAATTTTAATTAAGACAGCTTTTATGACCTCTTTCGTTTCAAAAATACATATACGTATATATATTCGTATGTAACGTTCAAATTATATGAAAACTTTGATTGTACGATTGAATAATGGAATATTAAACTTTTGAATAATAAAAAACTAAATATTACTGTGATCTGTTGGGTATAATTCTTTTTTCCTTTTAACATTTGTTGTGAACAATCAGATTACATATATATAATTCTTTTGTGAAATAATTTTAAAATCTGGTACGATGCCAAAGTGTTAATCTATATATTCGTTCTGTTTATTTCATGTGACTTGTGAAAATGCGATTACAATTGCTTCGGTTACAAACTCATGTGTGAATAACAAAATAAAGGAAAAAAATCTGGACACACAAATATTTATGGTGCGAAGCATTATAGCATTAAAGTAAAGATAGAAACAAACAAAAAACAATCTGCCTTTACATCATCGCATGTCATAGGCTTTAAGATTTGCGTAATCGTTACGATAATAAACCAAAATGTTTTTGTCATACTGAATATGTGCGATTGTTCAGAATGAAATCGATCATTTTTGTTCACACTTGTAAATAATAATTACATACTCAGTAATCGAAATAACTGGAAATAAATCAATTTCGCAGCATGTCACTCTCGTTCTAACTTTTAAGTGCTTTGGCGTAATCTTCGGCTGAGTTTTTTCCTCTCATAAACCTCCAAATGATCTATTTATTGGATTATTGTAGACACATATATTGAGGAATTTGCCTTCAATATTTATTTAAAAGGTGTTTAAAGTGGAATTTATTTGCGATAATAGATTTTTTTTCTTTCAAATTATTCGAGCAAACGTACTTCTCGTGAATATTTCAATTTCATTTTTTTGCGTCAATAAATAAAACTCATGTAGTATTTATAATTAGAATATACTCAAAATGATTCAAGATTCACGTATATAAAATAAACTCTTAAACTGGATGCGCTATGATTTACAAAAAAGTGTGTATTCGCACGAAATTTGAATTGTTTGTCTTTCTGAATGTACTGTTCAAACATGTTATTAAAAATTATCAGTAGGGAACGAAACAAATGAAGGAAAAAATCTGCGCAATCATTTCAAATGCAAAAAAAAGAAGAAATAAGCCAATGTTTGTCACAATGATGATGATGCCAATGTGAATATATTCGCGATTTTAATTTTGGAGGCGGATGAAAGTTTAAACTTGTACGTATTGTAGAATACAATAGAGCATTATTTATTTTTTTCAAGAGATATTGCTCGTTTTTTGCGTACTTCAAAATCTATTTTTGTTTTATATGCATGTGTGATTTACTTCTGGTGGTGATATATTAATAAAAATAGAAAATGAAAATTATTTTACACATACCTCAGACATATTGAAATCGTATAGCTGCACAATACCGGATGTTTTTATCGTTGGTTAATTCACATAAAACGTAGCACTCATTTTCAGTCAACACGTAATGTTTTACGTGATCATTACATTTTCCCATATTCCATACAGACTAGAATAGAGAATTCTTCTTAGAATTTTAAATTTTCTAATATTAGAAACAAATATTAACATATGTATATATGTGTACACAATTAAAGACTTGATTTTAACTAAAAATTAGATTGATTGATTTATAAACTACGGAGATATTTGAACATATGTATAATTTTTAGAATGATGTACTTTTTGTATCAAATCTTTTGTTTTGGACAGATACAATGTATACGACGAAAATTTATTTTGTATTTTGTTTTTTTTTATTCAATCGAAAAATATTATGTTCTCATTAAATGTGTAGTACGCAATTCGTTCGTAAACCGGTATATTTACACAATTTCATACCGATCGCTAGAAACTTGTGCATATGCTGTTGAATTGCGTAGTATGTACAAAAAGTTTTTCTGTAAATAAAAATATATACATATACTCATATGTGTACTTCACCATATTCGGAGTGTCTAAAAATGTGTTAAAATATATTCGCTTGAAATGAATGAGATTTTATGGCAAATGACGATGAGAAAAGACACAAATTCAATATCAAATGTTTTGGTATTATGAACGAAATTGCAAACTGCATTCAACTTTGTTGAAACAATCCTATCATGGTTGTAAACAAAAATACTTCACCAAATTTATATATTCATAGTGAATAATACAATTTGTTGTGAGTGTAAACTTCGATTTTTCCCCATTTTTGTTTGTTATTGCAATTTGTCATTTTACCAGGTATTCAAATTCAGTGCACGAATTGATGGATATTGATTGCACTTGAGTTCAAGTTTAAAGGTTTTCACTCACTGAAAGATTTTCAAGAATTTTCATCAAATATTCAATAAAATTACAGTCTTTTTATTTTATGTATGCATTACAATGTCCTTTTGAATGAACTAAATGCAAAAAATGCCAAACAAAAAAATGTTCTTTTGTTCAATTATTTTTGTTCTTTTTATTTTATTTACGATGGCTGTCTTAGTCTGTTTTCTTGTTAACCATTTGAAATCTGGCACTGAACTAAAATACAACTGTCAACAAATTTGTTAAGCATGCTCTTTATCGACTCTTTTCTCATGTATCTCTCACTTTTAAATCTAAATATGCATATGTATGATGGTATTGTAACAGCAGCTGAGTCTTGTATGCGTATGCGTGTGCGTGCATGTGTTTGTATGTGTATGAGTGTGGATTTTACTTTATTATGTTGTTGTATCATGTATGTATACCGTTCAAATTTCCCAATCATATAGGCGGAATAGCAGTAAAACGCGAGTATACACAGCACATCAACGGTTGTAGTATTTCGATTTGTTTGTAAACGATGTTTTAAATTTTACGTTTAAACCTAACTAACTTTTATGGCTGAAGAAGAGAGTATTTTGAATGAAAATACATTATATATATTTTGGACACTGTATTACGAAACTGATAGTTTACAATATGACATAATTACAATTTTTCATTTCAGGAAAACAAACTCTTATATCGAAGTTTTGCTTCGACTTCGTTTAACTTAATGTCCTCATTTAGTTGGCTTAAGTCACGGTTAATACTTTTTGTTAGGCCCGTGTCAAGTTCTAGACATCTTTGGAAGTCCTTCTTAGCGTCATCTGGATTCCATGCGCCGACGTGTCCCTTCGCTCTTCGATACAAGGCCTTAACATTATCTGAAAGTTGAAATAATAAAATTATCACATACAAATACACACATTTTTTTTTTAAATCATTATTACTTGGCTCATGTTTAAGTACTTCGGTACAATGTTCAATAACTGCATAGTAGTCCTTTTTCAATAATTTACATTGTGAATAATTAAGTAGTAATGGAATTTTAATTTTAATCAATTCCATCCATTCGGTATCATGTGGTTTTTCTCTGTTGATATTATGAATTCAAACAATGTAATACTCATTTTTACAGAAAAAAAACTTCAAATCGTACTTCAACAAAAGCTGCTCAATGATTGCCAGCGCAGCTCTATATTTATCTTCAGCTTCGGCAATTTTCCCGTTTCGATATAACTCATTTCCTATTTCGCGATTTTCCTTTATTGTACTGAATCTCTCATTTTCAGTTAATTGCCACGATTCTTTTTCATATTCGGTTGGCAATTCAACCGAAATTAGTTCTGTAAATATTGGAGTGAATATTGATTTCTTTTTTCTTTACTATTATGATTATTATTATTATTTGCCTATGATAAATTCCAAATCACACTGCTTTGCAAACAATTCATCCAAATCTTTGTATCCAATTCCCTCGTTTTGTATTGTCATACCGCAACAGTGTTTTCGTTCCTCTTTTGGTTTTTCAATATCGCGTAGTGTTTTTGAAATGAATGGATATTGAGCTACAAGCTAAAAGTGAACATTTTGTGTTTGTATTTTTTTGGGTATGCCAATAATTTCAAATGGTTTAACTCAAACTCACTGATTTATGAACGCGAAATTTTGCAACTTCATTTAAAGACATCTTCTTAACAATTGCTTCCCATACTTCAAACTTGAACTTCTTCCCGATAATTAATTCCATTGGTTTTCCATACTTCTTGCTGTCATCAATTATTTTTTGGTCATTATTATCATAGCATGTTTTAGTTTGGTAATGAAATTTCACCTGATTTCGAAAAGAAAAACATTCAAAATATTTTACATTCACGGATTGTTATCATCTTACTTTTGTTCCATCAACTAGAGGTATATATTTGGAACCCCTGTAAATGATTTCCTTTTTTATTAAAGCTTCGTCACTCGTATTGAGATCCATGATACTGCTGTAGATTTTCTTTCGTGAAAATGTTCACAATTCTTTTTTCTTCAATAAAATTTGAAGCGATTGTATTGATAGGAGATTTTGTGTGTTGAATATTTGTTTTCAATTGGAAGCATGACAACTAAGGTCAAAAACGCAGGGTTGTATAAAACAATTTATTATTGTCCAATGTGCAAGTGTTTTAAACGGTAATTAGAAAAAAGAAAATCATATTGAGAGAAAAATGGTAAATTCTGAGGCAAACTTAAAACTATTTATACACTATATTTCATTTTGAATGAAAATACTAAATAAAATAGATGGAGTAATGTTAGCTGGGTAAAGTGCTACATGAATTACGTCAAACAAACAAGCTGTCAATGACGTTCAGTTTTATTGTTATTGAGAGAGTCAGTAAATGATCCAGTACTCGTATATAACACGAAAAAAAATTGAAAACTTTTATTTAGAGTGAATATATCGTGAACCTTTTCATTTTTCATACAATAATGGGAAATAAATCGTCACTTCTTTTGCGCCCAGAGGAAATTGCCCAAATCCAAGAAGAAACCGGATGTAAGAAAAAGTTTATTTTTATATTATTCTAGACATATGTAATGCTCTGTTTTTATTAAATGTCCTTGTATCGTTTTATTGCATTGTTTTTAGTTACACCAAATCAGATTGAGCGATTATATTCGCGTTTCACATCGTTAGACAGAACTGACTGTGGAACTTTATCGCGAGAAGATTTCTTAAGAATTCCGGAGTTGGCCATTAATCCATTATGCGATAGAATAGTGCATGCATTTTTTGCAGACAGTACTGATGATCGCGTAAATTTCAGACAATTCATGCAAGTATTGGCCCACTTTCGACCTATAAAAAAGAGTTCGGCCAACAAATTGAACAGTCGTGAAGAAAAATTGAAATGTTAGTATTATATTCAAAAATTAAATAAGTTTAGTTTCAACCAGAGCTGTCAAAGAGTGTCTGTTCATTCGTTCGTAGAAAACGAAGTGTTCGCCATGTTCGTTCGTAGCAAACTCCGAACGGATGTTTAGAATATGTTCGTATCTTAAAAAATGGTAGATATTATAATTTGTAAATGTAAATTCTTTACAATCTTGTTCGGGTTTGTTTGTACCTTGAGTTAAGATGAATAGAGTAATGTGCAAATGGCGAAAATTTAATTTTCTATGATCAAACGACCACACAGAATTCCCACGAACAAACGAACAGTTACAAAAAAGAAAAAAGTGCTACGAACGTAAGATCTGTTCATTCTTTTGCGTTCGTTGAAGTTCAAACTTTGAACCTATAACAATATTTCTTCTTTTTTTTTTTGAACAGTTGCATTCAAAATGTACGACTTGGATGATGATGAATCTATATCCAGAACTGAACTACTAAACATATTGCATATGATGGTAGGCGCAAATATCAGTCAAGATCAGCTAATGAGCATTGCAGAGAGGACAATAATGGAAGCAGATCAATGTGGAACCGGGAAAATTTCCTTTGATGACTTCTGCAAGGCTCTAGAACGATGTGATGTTGAACAAAAAATGTCTATTCGATTTTTGAATTAAATTCATATAAATTTGTAATTTGCGAAGTAAATTTCATTTGAAGTTTGATGCAGAGACTATTTTAAGCTGCAGTTAGTATCTTTATCTGCTGTTCTTAATAAAAAAATGCAGTCGTAAATTTTGTAAAATTATTAAAATTTTAAAAAGTTCTGGGACAGTTTTAGTGGCAATGTCCTCTATTTCGAGCTCAACAATCATTTGCTTCATATGTAATATAATAAAAAACCAATATTGAAAAAATGTCCTTGAAAAAAATTATGTCATGTCCTCGATTTTTTCTGTTCTGCAGTGTAACATTTTCTTAAAATAGTCTCTGGTTTGATGATTGGTTATGGTTGAATGATTTAAATAAAGTGGTTTAAAAATGGTATTATAATTTATTTTAATAATAAAGAATTATTCGCCTGGATTTTATTGTCTCTTTTTGGATTTGGTTGGAATGTTATTTGTGACACCGATAGCCATATTGTGTACTAATTGTCAACCTTTATTGCCATGGCTACGAAATAACAGTCGGACAAATTTTGTACAAAAAATGGGAACCCAACCGATTGTGAATTTACCAACGATTTTGTGTCTTGGTCCAAGACAATCGGGAAAAACGCATTTATTATCCAGTCTTCAACTTTCTGGACGCATAACAAATGTATCTCACTCAGTTCAAACAATCGGTACGAATATATTTACAATCAAACTGCTAGACGGTGCTCAAAAACAAAGCAGCACTTCAGTAGCAACAGCATCACACTGTGGCAAGCAAAAAACAACTGCAAACGCCAGTTTTCGACGTTCAATGAAAAATCCAAGCGTTACGATAATGGAAATCGGCGGTATGATGGCACCAATGTGGACCAATTATTTGAATAATGTTTCAAAGATATTATATGTGATTGATACATCAAATTTGTGTCAAATTTCTGCAGCGGGTATGTAAATATTTCGTTGGTTTATTTTCTTAAATATCATGCAATATTTTATGTTTTAGGTGTCTTATTGTATTCGTTACTGGCTGATCCAAGGTTGCAGCACACAAAATTCTTACTTATCCTTACAAAAATGGATTTGGCATATCGTCAAATGAGGAACGAAATGTTGCTCATGATTCACTTTGAAAAACTAAAAAAACAAATTCGTCAATCGATTCAAATTGTTGAAACAAGCTCAATCACTTGCAGTGGACATCAAAAAATTTTGGAATGGTTATCATTGCCATAAACAGCGCTCTCTCTTTACATTTGAAAAAAAAAAATATATTTCTATTGAAAACACTTAAAATGCATACTAAATTGTAACCCGATTTATTCTACATTGAATATTCAATTTTAATTAAATTTCATCAATTAATTTAAAACGATTGTGTTGTTCAAATGGTAAAATGTTGAAGTACTTTTTGTAAATGGTATCGCTTTCTCTGCTAGCATAGATTCGTTGAACCTGGGGCGAAACAGAAAAGAAAAATGGAATTGATGGAAATTAAAAAAAAAACATGTAATTGAACGTAATGGAATGTAATGATTCACCCATGTATGATCCCAATTTGGATTGAATTGTTCACATGTAACGACAACTCGGCCTTCGGTCAATGCGTATAAAGTTCCGTTTTTACCAAAACCAACCTGATTTGTTAAAAAGAACGAAACAATATTGTATATATGAGTTTTCGTTATTGATTCACAATATTTTTGTTCTTTTCAATTTACATTTAAACCTGGATGATATCGTAAATTCCGTTGCAGGACCAATATTTTATTCTCAGACACATAAGCGCCGTCATTGACCTTCCATCCACGATGCTTTGGTCTTGTATTTATGGGTCTGTTTCTGGTACTGCCCTTTGCCTTAACTTTTTTTCCACGAACTTGATCTATAAAGTGGGATATTTTTTGAGTATAGTTTTTGATCAAGACAATTAAATTGCTTTACTTAAAATAAATGATTGCCCGCTCAATAAACTCTTGGCGCCAAAATTAAAAAAATTCTGCAAATAATTCATGGTGAGTAAAAGTATTTTTTTTAATAAATTTATATCGCGCAAAGTGTACACTTGTATGAAATAAAATGAAAAGTTAGGTTATGACATAGGAATAGAATTGACATGTGAAGTGACACTGTCAACAATAAACTTGACATATTCAGTGAATAGATTTTATTTGAAATTTTGCGAGACTAGTACTGACGCTTCAGCTGATTGAAAGAAAGATGAATTCGGTAGGATTTTCATATCCTGCCACTAATTTGAGCATTTATGCTCCAGGTCACATCGGAATTTGTATGTTGTCGTTTTATGACCAAGATAAGGCAATATCCGACTCAAGCACATATATTGTTGACGTTGATCAGTAAGTTAATGCACATAGAAATGAAATGACTAATTGTCTTATCGAAAGTTTTTTTTTTTTGAAGATGCTTCGGTATGAACTTGTACAATGAAAAATTGACTCGTTTGGATACAATCCCACCAGCAGGTGTGGTATTTCTCGTGGATCTGGGTTTCGAAGGTTTTCATCGTGCCGTCTGCAATATTCAAGTTAGTACAATGAAATAAAAAACATTGTTCAACTCCATTAAAATCAATTCAATATTTAATATGGTTGTAGAACATCAACACTTTGTTGTTAATTGACATTGGCGAAATTATGCAAGTATCATCTGCAGCAGACGTGAAGATGTTCTCGCTTTCAAGTAGAGCACAAGAATTGTCAGCTCGAGCAATCAATTGCACAGTTTTGGAGGTATGTTGACTTTTGGTCATTCATATTTTGTTTCTGTTTTGGAAGATGTGTGAAACGACAAAATTTTGCATTTTGATTAAAAATAATCCCAACAGATTTTCGACGAATATGAAAATAGAATCAGTGATTTTACCAAAATGCTGAATCAACAAATATGGTTCGCTGTTTACGAGGTTGGGAAGTATGTTTTTTTAAATGAATATGTAGTAGATTTGATAGTAGGGAAGATAAAATAAAGTCATTATTATTTAGGAAAAATATGGTTGTTACCTTGCATAAGACCAGACCAGTAGAAACACCTAAAACAGAAAAAGCCAGCATAGAATTGACTGAAGAAGAACGGAAAATATTGTTTGAAGAGCCGAAAATGATGACAACTAATGCACTAAAAGCAGTTGCAGGTCATGTGCCAACTGACGAAAAACTGATTTGCAAATTTTATGATCCCAAAACAGGCGGTTGCTTCAAAGGCAATTCTTGTCATTTGATACACGTACAAGTATTGCGTGGTGGGTTGAAGACTTTTTTCGTTAACCTAAATTACTATCGAAGAAAATAATAATTATTATACAAACTATTCTTGAAGATGGAACGACTCGTGATCGAAAAGAAATAAAGCATAGAATGCTGGATCAAATAATGCCAATGATTGGGTCCACGTATAAAGTCTGCATAACATCCATTGTAAGTTCAGAAGAATTTTTTTGCCATATTCCCGAAATTTGTGCGCAAACGTTATCGAGCTCACTTGAAGATTTCAAAAAACAATTAAATGCGGCCAATATGGTCGAACAATATCAACCATACAATGGTGTGCCCGGTATGTAATGGAGTCCATGCATTACTGCACTGGATGTGTATTCAAATAGATTTTGAGCTAATGTTTCATTTTGCTTAGATCTCCATGAGCTCATCTTGTTCAAGAATCAGGGTGTTTATTACCGGGGCCAGGTACTTGATCATCATTCCGAAGAGTGTATAGTTGTGCTTTTCGTCGATTATGGTGCTGTCCAGAAGGTCAATATTCGAGACACTTTCCGATGGCACACACGCTGGGATACAATAGCAGGTAAGGATATATCCATAATGAAATTTCATCTATCTTTTAAATTTTCAAAAATAAATTAAATTAAGCTTTAGCATACCGCTGCATTTTGGGAAATATTCGAGCACGCCGTAAAAATGATGTTGAAGCCAGAGAAGCCCTTCGAAATTTAATACTCAACGGAAGTGATGTTTCTATCCAAGTCATGTAAGTAATTTTAACTTTGAGAATTCTCATGCATTTTTTAATATAACAATAATAAGTTCATAATAATAAAATTTCAGTTCGTGTGCTGAACACCTGTATGTCCGATTGTATGACGACAATGGATATGATGTAGGCGAAACACTTTGTGCAAATGGTCTGTGTATAAATGCACCGAGATTGATACCAGTGTCAACTCAACTCCCTGGTTGAATAAACCAGCCAAAGACGAAAAATCATAGTGTTTATGCAATGAAATAACATGATGGAAACATCTGATCAAAACAAGATGTTAAATAAACGCTAATGGATATTTTATTGAAAATGCAAATACAATTTGTTCATTTTATAAGTTTTAAGTTGAAGAAAAAAATTTTTACAATAATTTTTTACCATACTATGAATTAACCTTAATAAACTCAACTAAGTGAATCAAAAAATGCTTTTGTTTGCGGTCTCAGTTTTTCAGTCTTCAGAATGTCTGTTTTTGATTTTTTGCTCGGATTATTCGCTTCCATGCTGCTCTCCGATTTTCGTTTCGAACTCTGGAAAATTAATTTTGCGTTAAATTAGTAATTGCAGAATGTACAAAGAATTGAATAGAAGCTTACATCTGTCTTTTCGGTCGCTACAAAAATATAATTTCCTTTTCCTTTGGCAGTATTCAATATTGCGTCATTATCACTCCCAGTTTTAGACAAACATACCAACTTTTCCAAAATTGGACTATCTCGATTTAAAAACGACTTTCGACTGTGGTGCATTGTATGCAAATCACTTCTTGTGATCAAAAAAGGCGACGCAGTTTTTGATGAAGCAGCACTTACTGGCTTTATAATTGCAATGCGTTTGCTAGTATTGAGTGAACTTTCGACTGTAGTTTGGTCAGCAACAGTTTCAAGTTGTACATGTTCGGCAGCCATAACAGCAGTCTGCAAAATATCAATATTTAGTTTATATTTGATTATCAGAAATTTAGTAACCATACCATGTCTTTATCATATGTTTGCTCTTTCAATAGCTTTTCGCGTTCGTATCGAATACGTCGCCATTCCGATTCATTTTCGTCGTCACTATTGTGTAGGTCCGTTGCCTCGTTATCCACATTCTGCATTTGATCATCATTGTTTTCGCCATTGTTCAAATGTTTCCATCGGAATTTTCGCTCTCGTTCTTGGCCGTTGTCCTCTTCTTCTATAAAGCGTTCCGTCAAAATGCGGATTTCTTTTGAGTCTTGGTCAATTTGTTCTCGCAATCGAATTCTTTCAAGCTCATCACGCAATTTTGTTTTGTCAAATTTATCAGTGTCTCCCAATTCAGCTTCATATCGATTCATTTCCTTCTCGTTTTCGTCTTCATCATCACTTCCCCACTCAGATTCGGATAGCTCGGCTTCATTTTCAAAAAACTCGGACGCTTTTTTTCGCACCTCACTTTTTTTCAATTCTACTTCAATCTAAAAATATTAGGTGATAAATTACTTGATCTACACTTCTAAATGAGATTTTATCATATTACTTACTTCATTTTCATCGGAATCATATTCAATATAACGTTCACCAATATCTTCTGAAGAAGATGAAACTTCTCCGTCACTTTCCATACGGTTGCTAGTTTCTCCTTCCCTAGACACAAAGGCCTCTGATTCTTCTTCTTCATCATCTATCCGAAAACAAAAAGAACACAAAAAAGTACTGAAATAATATATTATTTTAAACTCGCATTTTATAATGGCTAACCTGAATATACTACTGTGTGCCTTTTCTTCTTTTTAGTTCTTTGCGTTACGCCAACACGTTCATTTGTTTCTTCTTCATCTGATAGTAAAAATTGTGGTTTATTCTGAACAGTTTCAGGTTCCGTCACTTGTGCGATCAACGATTTCGATTGATTAGCTTGAGATGGCTCGACATCTCGAGATAGTTCCTATAAAATTTGAAAAACAAACATATGAATTAAGTCGAGGTAGTTATGTCATAATATAAATTACGTTTTCTACATTCTGAGTGGCAAACGTTCCAGAGCATAGAGCCATAAGCTGTGATTCACCGATCTCTTCATCTTCGTTGAATTCTTCGAACAGCTTGGTGGATGAATCTTTTTTGTTTGATTCCGGATCGGTTAAATTGCTAAGCTGTAAAATTTCAGATTCAAGAGCCGATATGTTGGCGACTGTGGTATTAGATTCTGAACACTCCATTTGTTGTGTTTCATCATCAATCGCTACAATAGCTGAAAAATATGAGATAAATTAATTTAAAAAAAAAAACGTTTTTGAATGATTTCAAAATAGGTTATTACAATTTGCTGTATCTTCATCTGAATCATCATCGATTGTTGTTAGAATGCGTTTACGTTGCTTTCGAAGATCACCAGTGTCAACTAGTGTATGATCTTCTGTCTTTTCAGTCTGGTCTTCATCATTCTCACTTTCTCCACTGCTCTCAGATTCTTCTTCATTAATTACATCATTTTGTTCAGTTTCTTCTTCAATCACATCCTCTTCTGCTAGTTCAACAGGGTCTGTTATCTGATCATCATCGTCGTCGTCATCATAAAATTCTTCGTCTTCACTTTCCATTTGTTTTCGCTGTAATTCATATTTCATTCCCTCTTGCAACTGTTGAGCAATCCTTTCTTCTCTTTTCTCCTTGATTTTTTTACTAAGCTCAGTTCGCAATTTAAAAAGACTTTCTCCTGGCCGGGCTTCCTTTTTAGATTTGCTATCGTCTTTATTCAAATGTACTGTATGCCGTTCCAAAGTGCAAGTATCCGTTTGGAATATGCTGAATAAAAAAAAATCAAAATAAATTGAGTTCAGTTAATTTATAGAAATTCTCTGTTTGATAACCGCAATGACAAACCTAAAATCTTGAGTATCATTTGCATGTGGATTAGCTTGTACATTCTTTTTGAATCGTTCCAAAAGTTCATCGACACCCGTTTTCTGCATCGGTTTTAAATCATTTGTTTCAAAATCGATAACAAACCCTTTTTCACCCTTCAATTTGGGAACATGATCGGTTGGTATTGAAAGTTTGACCTTGTCTTTGTTCATTGGTATTGTTTCCAATTGGACATCGAGCGCATTTGAAAATGCTTCAATCTCTGATACCGCGGCATTGAATTCATTTTGATCCGTAATTTCACCATCACCACCCATCATTTCAGTTATCCCATGATTATTGATGTCGTTTTCTTCATTATTTTCCACGGTATCGACGTGAAACTGTGCAGCTTCTTCTAATTGTGTTGGTTCTGTTTCTTCCACATCATTGTTTGAATTTTCATTCTTATTATCGTTGCCATTTTCATTGTTGTCCATAATAATATCATCTAAATTTGTATTTGACTCTTTATTTTCTTCTTCTTCTTCTTGGAAAAAGTTTTCGGCTTCTTGTGTACGTTTTTCCAATACATCCCTATTTTTAGTAATATTCACATTCTTATATGTATCGTTTTTTTTAAATTAAAATGAAAGTACATACATGAATTCAATTAATTCTTCATTTGTCATTTTGATCGGTTTTTTTGATAATTTTTCCTGCTGCTCAACAATACTCCGCCGACTTAAGAATTCTGTCAGTGAATGTTGCTTCGGTTTGTGATACGGAATGCTTAACAGGAATAAAATATAATTTTAATCCAAAATATCGTGCATATTTTAAATTTAACAAACATACTTAACACTAAGCTGTCGTGCCATTCGTTGCGATTCGCTTTGTATTTCCTTCATTTGTTGTTCAGCCATTTTTGCTGACATCTACATATTTTTTATTATTTGTTACTCAATTCGTTCATATGATTGATATATTGATGATGTGTAATAATTACCCGTTGTTCCAATTTTTCTCTGGGCTTTACATTTTCAGCTTTGTCGCTTGGACCATTACTTCGGGAACTTGTGTCTGAATCACCACCACTTGATTGACTAGAAGTGCTGCGTTTTTTCTTCCCCATTTTAGTAATTTTCTTAGCATCATTTTCAGTATCATCATCGGAATCAGATTGACTGCTGTTGAGTTCATGCTGTTGCTTTACCTTTTTCTTCTTGAGTTTTTTGACCGATTTCTTTACTTGGACAGCTCTATCACTCTGATTTCCATCACTTGAACTCTTTGTATCTGAATCACAGATTGACGGACGAATTATGAAACCACTTTGATTTTCTGCTGCATTTTTATCGTTCATATTTTGCAATTCATCATCATTTTCCATCTTATCATCATCGTCATCATCGGAACTCAAGATTCTGGTGGTTTTTCTAGACTTTACAACAGATATGTTCATGTCATCTTCTTCATCAGATGCTTCAAGTGTTGGTTTTTCAGGTGATAATAACTGATTGTTGATTGATTTTGATACATCCTCTTCATCGCTATTTTCTGAACCACTATACATTAGCGTTTCTTCAAAGCCACCATCCATATTGATTGGAAATTTTCGTTGTCGAATTAATATTAAAATACTATTACTTTTTTTTGCTGATGCAGTTTTATTTTGCTTTTGTTAACTAGTTTTGACGTTTTGAAAGTATGTTTTCGCGCCTATTCAATGGCGCCAAATTTTGACATCTGCTTCGAATACGTAAACGTATATTATACGTATACATGTGGAATAAATGTCAAACAAAAAGTCACCGGCCCAATTGACATTTACTTCAAAGAGCATAGGCTTGTTAAGTTGTTGTGTGTTTTTTTTTTGTTTTCGTTCATTCATAGGCGAGGAATTATTATTCAAACATTAAATTAGATTGTAAAAAATCGAAAGCCGGATGCAATCAAAATGACTTCAATCATCAAGTTACAAGCGCTTTCGGGTGCAATGGATGAGTCGCCACCATGCTATTTACTACAGATTGATGAAGTGAAAATTCTATTAGATTGTGGTTGGGATGAAAAATTCGATCCAAATTTCATAAAGGAAATCAAACGGTAAGATGGCACGTGATTTGTATTGTAATTCATATATTTATATTCGATTTATATTTCAGACATGTACACACAATAGATGCTATTTTGATTTCATATCCCGATCCCTTACATCTGGGCGCTCTACCGTATTTGGTTGGGAAATTGGGCTTGAATTGTCCTATATATGCTACAATTCCTATCTACAAAATGGGTAATGATGACTGATCTTTTTTATTTGTTTTTTTTTTTTCTCTCTCGATATTTTTATTAATTTTAATTCATCATTACAATCAGGGCAACTTTTCATGTATGATACATTTATGTCACACTACAATATGTACGACTTTGAATTGTTTTCACTGGACGATATTGATTCTGCTTTTGACAAAATTATACAATTGAAATATAATCAAAGTGTTTCACTGAAGGGAAAAGGCTACGGAATCACTATAACACCACTTGCTGCAGGTAAAATAAAGGTGAAATATGTTATAAATGGTGAACTAATACTTTAATTTGTTTATTTAAAAAAAGGGCATATGATTGGTGGAACGATATGGAAAATTGTAAAAATCGGTGAAGAGGATATTGTGTATGCCACTAACTTTAATCACAAAAAAGAGCGTCATCTAAATGGATGCGAATTGGAAAAAATGCAGCGTCCATCGCTTTTAATAACCGATGCATACAATGCGAATTACAATCAAGCTCGGAGGCGAGCCCGTGATGAAAAATTGATGACGAACATTTTGCAAACGCTTCGAAATGGCGGTAATGTAATGGTAATTATATAGAATAATCATTGCTATTATTCGATTTGTTGCTTTATACAATTGTTTTTTGTTTATTTTAAATTGATATTAATTTTCATCAACTAGGTAACTATTGATGCAGCCGGCCGATTACTCGAATTGGCTCACATGCTGGAACAACTTTGGAAAAATAAAGAGAGTGGCTTACTTGCTTACTCTTTGGCACTATTGAACAATGTCGGTTACAATGTGGTGGAATTTGCAAAGTCTCAAATCGAATGGATGAGTGACAAACTGATGAAAAGCTTTGAAGGAGCACGAAATAATCCGTTTCAATTTAGACATTTGCAACTGTGTCATACTCTAGCTGAATTACAAAAAGTACCATCTCCAAAAGTGGTTCTCTGCAGTACCACAGACATGGAAAGTGGATACTCAAGAGAATTGTTTATTCAGTGGGCATCTAATCCAAACAATAGCATCATAATTACGTCACGGTTGGTTGAAGCAAAAATAAACCAACTAAAATTTTATATTTCAAATTATATTTACAAAAGATACTGAACAACAATCTTAAAAAAAACTGTTTCTTCATAGGTCATCACCGGGTACCCTTGCCAGAGATTTGTTAGACAATGGAGGAAACGGTCGAAAAATTGAAATTGACGTACGTTGATGTATTCAATTTTTTTTAACGGTTTCTTTCAGGAAGATTTGAATTTAATTTTTATATTTTTTATAGGTTCGCCGTCGAGTTGATATCGAAGGAGCTGAACTAGATGAATACATGAGAACAGAGGGCGAAAAAAATTCGGCCATGAAACTGATTAAGCGAGATGTTGAAGAGCCAAGTTCCGACAGTGATGATGATATTGAAATGAATGTTATAACTGGAAAACATGATATTGTTGTGCGGCCACAGGGTCGAGCATCAACTGGATTCTTCAAATCGAGTAAAAAACAATATGCCATGTTTCCGTTTCACGAAGACAAGATACGCATCGACGATTACGGTGAAATTATACAGTTGGAAGAGTATAAATTGGCCGATGATATTCATCCCCAATCATCAGGACACGATGATAGCAAAGAGAATGGTCAAATCAAAATCGAAAATATCAATGAACAAAGCAAATCAACTGAAAATGGTATGTCACTGTTTTTTCATTATATGTTTCCGACTATTTTAAATTAATTCGATTCTTTTCTTTTGTGATTCTCCCCTTAGGTATGTCACTGTTGGAAAAGCCTACGAAATGTGTTAGTAGTCGAAAGACAATTGATATCAATGCACAGGTTCAATTTATCGATTTCGAGGGTAGCTCTGATGGAGAATCACTTTTGAAAATATTGTCTCAACTTAGACCACGGCGTGTGATTGTTGTCAGAGGTACGCCGGACATTTGTTTTACAATTATTTTTCGATTAGTTTCGATTACTTATCGATTATTTTCAATTTTATTCTTTTCTTTTGTGATTAGGTACGCCGGAAAATGTCAATCTAATAGCTAAGCACTGTAAACAGAGTATAGGAGCACGAGTATTTACACCCGCAAAGGGTGATATAATTGATGCAACAACAGAAAATCATATTTATCAAGTAAAACTCACAGAGGGCTTAGTTGCAAAACTTCAATTTCAAAAGGTAAAAGATGCCGACGTTGCATGGATTGATGCCAAGATTCGAGCACGAAGTAAGAAAATTCTGCCATCCCTGAATGCAAAAGCAACCAATGGTTCCAATACAAATGATAATGCTATGGAAATCGATAACGAAGAAGACGATAACGATGACGAAGACGAAGACGTTACAACAAATGGAGAAGTTTCCGTTCTACCGTCAAGTAAGTGTATATTGAATGCGTTCATTAGGGTATATCGTTTGAAGTAAATATAACATTTATTTGTTATAGCTGATAACAAATGGGCACTGGAACCAATTAATGATGAAGCTGTCGAACCACACAAATCAACATTCGTTAATGAGCTGAAGATCAGTGATTTTAAACAAGTACTATCGCGGAATAACATCCAATCGGAATTCTCTAACGGAGCATTATGGGTTGCAAATAGCACAATTGCCATTCGCAGAGTAAGAATAAATAAAAAAAAAAACAAATAATTTGGATAAAAAACAAATTCATAGAAAATATTTATTTTTGTATTTATAGATTGACACTGGAAAGCTATGCATGGAAGGATGTATATCCGATGAGTATTACAGAGTTCGAGATTTGTTATACGACCAATATGCAATTATTTAAAATCCATACAATGTTTGCAGACTCAGTTTATTTTGGGAATTTTACGAGTTGTTGTTACTAGACGCATAAAATTTGACGACTTTTTGGCAGTTCGTTCTTTCCTGAAGAAGATAAAAGAATTTTTATTTTACCAAGATTTCTTTTTTATCTTTATTTTTACCTTGGTGAAGACATATTGACATGGTACAATCCAAATTTTTCACTATTTTTTTGGAAAATAAACACAACAAAGCGTATATTTCAATGATCTTAATAAATGGTCGTCTCTTATTTATTTATCAACTAAATTACTTACGTATATCCTTGAGCCCATTCGAAATTATCGATTATCGACCATACTTTAAGAATAATTTACATTTGATCGGTATAAACAACATGTATAATGTATATTGATATATTGCTTCTTATACCTGTGTATCCTTTAAGATTTGTTTCGTCGTTCAAGATAACATCCAGAATATGTTTCAAGTGATCGTGTAAATAGACGATTCGATCGTCATCTTCGATTTGTCCTTCATCTGACCACCCATTTTCCGTGATTATTACGGGGGGATTGTTGTATTCTGCTTTGATCCATCTAAATGGGATGTAAATGTTTTTTTTTATTTATTTTTTGGAATTATTAATCAAATTAAGTTAGTTGTGTTCTGATATCAAATCATTCCTTTACAAATATAGAAAATCTATGGTTGTATACCTAAGTATATCGCCAATTCCCTCAGGTACAGAGTATAGCCAATCCGAAGCACTTTTCTTCCATTCTGGTTTTATTCGAAATTTCAAATTCATATCGCGCTGATATGATGGGTTCGGTCCGTCTGGTTGAGAAGAAATTGGCTCAACGATACGGCTTGTGTAATAATTCAATCCCAAAAAGTCAGCGGTTCCACGAATAGTTTCGATCCATTTGTCCGTGAATGATGGTAATCGTGACCATGAACGTCCCTCTCGAACAGAATTACTCGTAATAGTCGTTACCATATCAGCTGGATAGTTGCCTTTTAGACTAAAAATTGGATTTGCAAACCAGCCCAGGGAAAAGTGCATTGCTCGATCAACAGTACTTGAATCATTTGTATCAGAATAGAAAAATCGTGAGCTTAAAGTGATACCAACTTGACCATGGTAACGGTCATAGTATGTGTTTTTGTACAATCGATAAGCAACAGCATGGGCTTTCAATACATTGTGACCGCATAAGTATTCGCCTGTTCATGAAAGATAAGCACAAATTAATATGTGTCCATGGGAATAAAAGTGGCAATACAAAAACCGAATCTGAAGAACGTTACATAT